AAATAAATCTTTGTATATACAAATATATGTGTATTTTTTACACCAAGGATCATAACAAAATAGAATACAAAATATATATATGTATTTTCTGCTTGTAGTTTTACTTTTCCTCCCTGATCATTTTTTTAAAACATATATATACCTTATCTGTCAAGAGCAGTTTTGGATTTCCTCCCTGATTTTTTTTTTTTTTTTTCTTGAGGAAAGCAAAATAGGGTGAGAATTGAGATAATTATTTTTCTCACATGGAGGAAGACAACATTTAAGAAACATTTTTTAATCCCAAAATTTTCCCCAAGTACTCTGGTGAACCCGGCAGCATTCTATGGGTGTCTCTCCCAAAAAGTCTTAATTGGAAAAGAATAGCCAATGCATGGATTCAGTAATGAAGGTTGTGTTTTAAACTACTGCTGCTCATCATTTGTTTACATGCTTCCTTCATTCACTGTGCTTTAGCTAGTTTCAGTAAGTAAAATATTTCACATTTTCACAGTGATTTACTTAAGCAAAATAATTATAACCCTTCACAATAAAATTATAACAATACCGTACATAATGACAAATATGAATTATTCTCTATGCAGGATGTTTTATTCATTTATATACAGATATAGTCTGTAGTCCATTTCAGCACATGAATTATCTTGTTCATAGTCAATCTTGGAAGAACCTAATAGATTTTGCTTTTTTACTAGACTTAGATTATACTTACACGCTTGAAGCGTACTAATTATTGGTTTTAATTGGTGCTAATATCATATAAATATTAAAACTTTTACAAGATCGAATATTAGCTAAGTATCTCTAGATACTATTACGAATCTAATAAATGCTTAGTGAAGTTACATTTATGGCACTAGCTAATAAAAGAGTCAGTCTTCCCTGAATTCTTGGCTTATAAAAATCCAGTAGGAGTTTCATAGGATGTTGGCATGTTTGTGTATTGTTATCTAGCCCTGGAATGCTAAAGGGATTTAAGCCCATGTGGTTGATTTGTGTTTCTTGAACAATCTAATAGTTTTATTTTATTTTGGTTTTGTTACCATTTTTCATGGGTTTCAGATTGAACTTTGATTACTACAGAGTAGGAATCAAACTTGGAAGTCAATTTTGGCATATGCCATTATTATACTTTTTCTTTCCAGGATAGATTAGCCCAAGTGAAGGGGCATTGACGTTGAATCACTATTTGGTTAGTGGACTCTTATAAAGTTGTTTATTGTTTCTGAAAAATATTTAATAATAATAACACATTTATTGATCTCCATGCTCTTAACTTTTTCTGGCTGTAATTTTTCTTGAGCATTTTATTAACTACTTTAATTTCAGTTTCACTTGCATAGTGTGTTTCAATGTTCAAAGCACTTTTAGACATTATTTGATTCTGACAGTAGCCCTATGAAATAGCAAAAGCAGGTGTTATTTTGATTTTTACAGTGTCTTAGAGAGTTTGAGTGGCCCACCCAAGGTCACACAGCCAACAATCATGAGTGGGATCAAGAAATCAGTTTTTTCTAGCTCATAGTCCAATACTCTTTCTTGAAGCTAAATGGCACTGTTTGTTTACATGACTAAAAACTTGGTTCTTACAACTTACCTGGAATGCTGTAGAATCTAATGAGTTCATTTCATGTCCAGTGTACTAAACATAGCTTCTGGGTTTAAGGACAAGATTGTTGGTGGTATTCAGCCAGAAAACCAGCACATATGACTTGGATTCTGAGTTTTGGAATTTCTCACCTAGTTGAGCATTTGTACCTGTTCCAGCATTCGTCTTTCAGTTCCAGGAGAATGTGTGTGACCCTAGTGCTTGGTATTCACCTCATTAGGTGGAACAACTGTTTGCTACTTGGCAGTCTGTGCAGAAGTGATGTCCGGAAATAATTTAGCAAGAAAGTTACATAAAGACTGAAGGCTACTTAGTTCTGCATGAAATGGTGGTACAAATGCCTCACCTTTCTGTTTTGCTTCATCTAGTACTACCATTTAGTTATCTATCTAAATCTTCTTAATTCACCCTTATTTATCCTTAAAGGAGCTGACTTTGCCTAAAGTTTGATATTTGTGTCATAACTGGGTCATAACATTTTCATAAATGAGCTTGAGCTTTAAAAGTGGAATCCTTGGGCTTCCCTGGTGGTGCAGTGGTTGAGAGTCCGCCTGCCCACGCAGGGGACATGGGTTCGTGCCCCGGTCCGGGAAGATCCCACATGCCGCGGAGCGGCTGGGCCCATGAGCCATGGCCGCTGAGCCTGCGTGTCCGGAGCCTGTGCTCCACAACGGGAGAGGCCGCAGCGGTGAGAGGCCCGCGTACCGCAAAAAAAAAAAAAAAAAAAAAAAAGTGGAATCCTTGTACATACTCATCAGTAGGCTGTATTTACTTTTTTGTATGATAAATATCTGAAATTTTTAAATTAATTTTTAGGTTAGCCATTTCTACTTCTTAGATAACAACATAATATTTAAATTTCTTTGCTTTTCTCTAAATTCTGATTTGACTAGTTAAATAATAACAAGATGTGTTTATTCTTCACTTTGCTTTATTTAAAGATACCATCAGCTTTTGACTTTCCCACAAGAGCATGTGTTTGCCTGGCCCTGCTGTAAGGCAACAGAACAACACTGTTGATTGTTTTCCTTTATATGCCTTTTTTGTTTGTTTGCTTATAGCCTGATCTGACCACTCAGCTTATATTTATACCATTCTCTTGACTCCTTCCAGCTCAAAGTAAACACATAGGGTTAGTTACATCAGCTAGTTTGTCATCTTTTTCCTTGAAGTTCAATCTTACCTAAACTTGAACAGCCTTGAGTAATGAGTTTATAGCATTTTAAAAAAGAAATCTTCCTTATAAAGAAAAATTATACTGTTTCAATTCAGAATTTATTTCTTTAGAGTTCTAGCTATATTCAAATGGAAACTGAACCCCATTTTAATATCATTTCAAAACCTGAGAGTTATTTTAAAATGATGACAGTAACTTTTCCAGTGGCTAAATCTTTTCTTTAAAAACCTTCGGAAGTCATAAATAATTACTACTTACTGAATTCTGGTTTTGAAAACTTTAGAACTTTTTTTTTTTTTTTTACTGTGTGGAATGCCCCTTTCCTTCTTTGGTTATTTTGTGATGACATATGTATTGATTTTTTTGGTAGTCTCTATATTAACTTTCTAGGCCTGTGTGTGTCTGTGTGTGTGTGTCTCTGTGCGTTATTTATTCCCTTTTTTGGAAGTGGGATGTGGGGCTAGAGGAGAAAGAAACAAATTATTTTCATTTAATCTTTTTTCTCCTCATACTTATTTAACTGACTTGATCTTTGGAAAAAATAAGTATTTTTTATTTAGACGTTAGGTAATTGTGTTTTGTAAAGTATTTTACTTGCATTTCAGTTTGCCACTCATATTCTGTCCTTTCTTTTCCTTTCTATGTTTCCTCAACTCCATCTTTACAGTAGTTTGAGAGAATCAAAACTGCTTCTTTGCTCAAACTGACACCCCTCCCCCCTCAGTGGAGGCCGTAACCAATAACACCACTGCCTCACCATGGGTAGGGCTTGAGGTTCATAAAACATCTTTCATATGCTCATTTAAATCAAATCGATCCCTTGTGCTATAACTTGATATTCTTTTCTCTTATTTATTTGTATACTGCTTTATTAGCCTATTGCGTTAGTTGCCAAGCTTTGTTAGTAATCAGTTCAGCATGTAACTTTCTAGGACTGCATCCTTGTTAGACTAGGGTGGGAGAAAAGAAGATAACATTTGTAAATACTCCCTAAACTGGAAAGAGGTGAGGAGGAGAATTAATTTAGTAGAACAGATATTTCTATTTTGGGTAATACTAGCTTAAAGAATATATATACACACATATATATACACACACATTTTTTTTACGCAAAATTATTGCTAAGTGTAGTTTACTCCAGCGGTCCCCAACCTTTTTGGCACCAGGGACCAGTTTCGTGGAAGACAGTTTTACCACGGAGCCGGTGGGGAAGGGGGATGGTTCAGGCGGTAATGTGAGCGATGGGGAGCAGCAAATGAAGCTTCACTTGCTGGCCCGCTGCAGACCGGTACTGGTCTGTGGCCCGGAGGTTGGGGACCCCTGGTTTACTCTGTAACTTCATGGGTTGCTTTATAAACAAACATTAGTATATATTAAAATACTATTCTTTATTTTAACTGCAACTATGAAATAATGAAATTGATCTGGTGCCAAACTCATTAGTTCATATCAATCTCTAGTTTTATAATCTCTGAACATATTAACAGGGAAAAAGGAACTGACTGATATTACCAAAGATTATGGTTCTCTCTATGGTCACATAGTTTTAAAGAGCTGAAAGTAATTGGCTTTAAAATATTTGGCTGGCAAATGAAAATACCACAAAATCTCTAGAAAAGGAAAGTAATAAGGTAAGGAGTAGAACTACCAGATACTAAAGCATATTATAAAGCAACAGTATTGAAGCAATATGGTAGAAGCCCAAGATTAGATGTATAGATCATTGAAGAATAAAGAAATGCTGTTACTTATACAAGTTTGACATACATTAAAGGAGGCACTGTTAAACAGTAGGAAAGGGAATGATTATTTAATAAATGGGGTTGGAATAACTAGTTAGCAATGTCAAGGAAAAATATACTTAGAACCACATCTATACCAGAAATAACAAAATAAATTTCAGATAAACTTAAGTGTGGATAATTACATATTGAAAATCTAAAAGATAAAAGGACTGAATATTCTATAATTTCTCTGGAATTTCTAAACAATTTGAAAACTGGAAAAGGAAGATAGCAAAGATTAGACTGCACATGCTAATTTGTTTTATTATAACTGTAGCTCTGTGAGCATTAGAGGAAAGCATGCCTATTCTATGTTCAAAATCTGAAAATTAGTCTTATTTTTTTTTCATACCAGCTGGAAACCTTATGCTTTCTATACTAGTTAATGGAACAGAGAATGCAGTTCTTTATCTAAAATTTTATTCTGTAGATGCATTGAAAATTATACAGGAGCTCGTTGTGAAGAGGTTTTTCTCCCAAGCTCCAGCATCCAAACTAAAAGTGACCTGTTTGCAGCTTTTGTGGCATTGGCTGTTCTTCTAGGAACTCTTATCATTGGAGCCCTCTACTTCCTTTGCAGGTAACCAAAATAAAAACATGCTTTTGAAAAGAAAAAGTAATGCATAAAGTAGTTATCCTACTAAATAATCAATATGCCCTTTAGCTCTAGATTATTTTTCCAGATTGTTTTTCTGTTTAGAGTTATTTCTCTAATAGAGTTACTGTTATTAAATTTTATTGTTTATTTATTTTTGTTATTAAATTAATAAGTCATTTTTGAAAGGATCTTAAGCAGTCTCTATTTATTCTTTGTTACTGTCATCATCATTATTTACCTTGACTTTTCTAAACTAGTAAGGTAGATCCACATTCACTAAAGTCATCATGCCAAAAACACCTAAATATTTGGACTAGGTCTATTTTAAATAGATTTTGTGAAAGAAAAGAAACAATTTATGCAACACGCTGTAAATATAAATTTAAGACATAGTTAATATCTAGGATCAGCTCTTTATTTAGTGCCTACTATGTGCTAGACACTTTATGCTGATAAGCATAAAGAATATAATAGTGAAGAAAATAGACATGTTCCCTAACTTCATAGAGATTTAAATCAATTTGGAGAGACAGATGAATTGGCAGGCAATTAATTTGAGAAGACTAGTAACTCATAAGACCAAAGGAAAATTTATTCACATGAAACAACGCTTTGCACTGAAGATTACTTTCATTCATTAGTTTTGGTCTTCAGCTTTTTCTGAATTTTTGTGAAAATAAGTGGATATAGAATTTATTAAATTTAGGAGTTATCTGGTATCATAACTCTCATTATTAATTTTTATTAAATGTACACTGTATGCTATCATAGATATTTGTGCAAATGGAAAATGGAGCTGAGGGTAGTCATAAAAGAGATACAGTGGGCTTGAGAAATTTATATTCTAAGAAAAGTAACATATGTAAAATTATATTTCATAAAATCCTCAATTCTGAATTACTTTACACCATGGAGTAAATAAAAATTGGAGATTGTGCTTTTAAAATATGTGGTATTGGTATTACATATTTTATTCTAAAATATATTATTTAGGCAATCTAATATGTTTTATCTCTCATAATTTTAGCATCTTACCACAGATACAAAAATTTAAATACGAGCTCATTGTGTCAGATTATATTTCCCAAAGATAGCCACAACAATATCTCTCATTCCCACATGCTCTTCTGCAGTGTGACCTTGCCACTCCTACATCAAGAGGAAGAGTTATTTCTCTAAATCTTTGAATCTGGGCAGGCATTCAGACTGCTTTGACCACAGAATATTGTGGAAATGGTGCTGTTCTAGTTAAGGGCGTAGCCTTTAAATGGCCTGGCAGCTTCCATCTCCTGTCACTCATACTTCCGCTGCTCTTTCACATAATCAGCTACCATGTTGTGAGAACAGAGAACCAGCCTCAGCTGATCTCCCAGCCGACAGCCAGTGTCAACTACCACCATTTGAATAAGCCACCTCAGACATCTAGCTCAGTTGAACCTTTAGTTGATCCAGATTTAGCTGCCAGTTGACTGCAACCACAGAGATCCCAAGCAAAAACTGCCCAGCTGTCAACCCACAGAAAACCATGAGAGATAAATTGTTTTAATCTACTAAATTCAGGTTGATTTGTTATACTGTTATAGATAACCAGAACACCCATGTTTGGAATTAGGTGTACTCTTGACTTTAAATCAAGTTTGGAAAAAGAATGAATAATGATTTATTATTTTATTCTATCCCTCTAAATATTTTGTTGGTCTAATATGCTAAGGAGAAGACCAACTGACTAATTCCCTCATTAATCACTCTAGTGCCAGGTTGGAAATATAGCATTTCATGTGTTATTGATTGGATAATAAATACTTTTGTAATATCAATCAGGATAGGCTAGGTAATTATCAACCCTAACAGTTTAGTGGCTTAAAAAAATAAGACTATTTCCCATTCATAGCGTATAATTATTATCATTTGGCAGACTGGCTTTTATAATCATAGTCACTTAAAATCTCAAACTGATGGAGCAGCCACCATCCTGAATGCTGTGGGTTGCTCTGCCAGAGGGTTTCATATTTGAGTTGAAATGATCTGTCTGGCCATGATTCATTGGCCAGAATGAGCTGCATGGTCCTACTTAATTACAAGGGGTACCAGGAAATGCAATTCTACCATATGCCTATAAGGTAGAGAGCTAGAAATACATGTCCTACATAATGACCAAAGGATTTATTAGGAAATCTAATATTCATTCCACTGGGAATTGTTAAGAGGGATTTTTTTTATTCCATAGAGCTTTAACATTGCTGTAATTGTCTAAAAATGAAACTCCTGTGCAAACCCATTGAGTTTGTGCCATGGTATGTTGTACCCCACAGGTGCTTAATGACACAGAGTTTCAGAGGAGACCTTCTAGAACACAGTAACTCTGCAGGCTTGAGCCAGAATTTAGCAATATTGCTAGTATGAGCAGGCTAAACAATACCTTTTTGGTAGAAAGTATAGATAAAAGGAAAATGAAAGTACAGTTGACCCTTGAACAACACAGGTTTGAACTGCATGGGTTCACATATATGCAAATTTTTTTCAATAAATACTACAGTACTACATAATCCATGGTTGGTTGAATCCCTGGATGTGCAATCGTAGATATGGAGGGCCAACTGTAAAGGGTATATGTGGATTTTCAACTGTGTGGTGGTCAGCACCCCTAACTGCTGCATTGTTCAAGGGTCAACTGTATATAAGAACAAGAAAGGACAAAAGGAACATCCAGTCACAAATATTATCTGGTTTGCATCCTGATGCAGTCTGAATGTCTAGGGAAAAAAAGCTAGGAATGTTGAATAATCCAGGCTGGCGGTGCCCCAGGTGGTTGACAGAAACAAATGCAAATTAATTCTTGAAGAACCCACTTTCATCCTTTACCTTAAAAAGTATCTCACAGTACAACAAGATTACCAAACATATAAGAAAAGAAGCACCATGAGTTAGAACCCACAGAAACAACTGATAGTAAAATCAGATATTCAAAATCTTTATTTTTTGGAAGACTCAGATACGTAATATAAAATACATATATTTAATATATACCAAGAAATAAATGAGAGACTTGTAAATAAGCAAATTTGACAAAGACCAAAACAGAAATGTAATGCATAAAATATAATAATTGTAATTTTTTAAAAGCCAATACATGTCTTAGTTCAATAAAATTTTTTAACCAAGAATATGTTTTTAATAGCAAACTAGACACAATAAAAGATTTAATGAAGTGAAAGATATAGATAAGAAATTACCCAGAAGGTAATTCTGAGAGGAAAAGAAATGGAAAATGTTATAGAGAGGTCAAGAGAAGTCAAGAAAAAGGGAGACCAGAGAGAAATTACCTAGAAATGTATGATAGAAGAAAGGGGCAAAGGCAGTATATGAAAAGGTAATGGCTGAGACCTTTGCAGAACTGATGAAAGTCAACCACAGATTCTAGAAGTCCAACAAATTTCAAGCAGGATAAAAATAAGTTTACATATGGGCACAGCCCAGTAAAACTGTAGGATGCTCAAAGAGAACACTGCAAAAATGTTACAAAAGAATGACAGGGGCTTCCCTGGTGGCGCAGTGGTTGAGAGTCCACCTGCCGATGCAGGGGACACGGGTTCGTGCCCCGGTCCGGGAAGATCCCACATGCCGCGGAGCGGCTGGGCCCGTGAGCCATGGCCACTGAGCCTGTGCGTCCGGAGCCCGTGCTCTGCAATGGGAGAGGCCACAACAGTGAGAGGCCCGCGTACCGCAAAAAAAATAAAAAATAAATAAAAAAGAATGACAGATTATCTTAAAAAATTTTACTGAAAGCTGGCTGCTCAGTAGGAAAGAAGCAAAACCAGAAGACAGAGCAAGCAATGATATTTTCAGTATCCACTGAAAATAACCATCAACCCCAAATTTCTGTATCACTGAAAACATCTTTCAGGAATGAGGGTAAAATGAAGATACTTTTATTTATTTTTTTTTAAATTTTATTTATTTTTGGCCGCATTGGGTCTTTGTTGCTGCCCGTGGGCTTTCTCTAGTTGTGGTGAGTGGGGGCTACTCTTTGTTGTGGTGCATGGGTTTCTCATTGAGGTGGCTTCTCTTGTTGCAGAGCACGGGCTCTAGACGCATGGGCTTCAGTAGTTGTGGCACAGGGGCCCTAGAGCGTGTGGGCTTCAGCAGTTGCGGCACACAGGCTCTAGAGCACACAGGCTTCAGTAGTTGTGGCACGCGGGCTCAGTAGTTGTGGCTCGCGGGCTCTAGAGTGCAGGCTCAGTAGTTGTGGTGCATGGGCTTAGTTGCTCCACGGCAGGTGGGGTCTTCCCGGACCAGGGATTGAACCCACGTCCCCTGCATTGGAAGGCAGATTCTCAACCATTGGACCACCAGGAAAGTCCCAAAGATACTTTTAGATAAGCAAAACTTGTAAGAGTTTGTCCTCTCATATTTTCAAGCAGAAGGAAATTGATTCTGTATGGTATATTGAGATGCAAGAAAGAAGACAGATCAGAGAAAGTCATTATGTGAATGAATCAAAACAAATATTGTATAGATTTTAATAATAGTACTGTACTGTGTCTTTGAAAAGAGGAATTAAAACACATGATGGCAGGACTTCTCTGGTGGCACAGTGATTAAGAATCCGCCTGCCAATGCAGGGGACACTGGTTCAAGCCCTGGTCTGGGAAGATCTCACATGCCGTGGAGCAACTAAGCCCGTGCGCCACAACTACTGAGCCTGCTCTCTATAGCCCACTAGCCACAACTACTGAGTTTGCATGCCACAACTGCTGAAGCCCGTGCTCCGTAGAGCCCATGCTCTGCAACAAGAGAAGCCACCATAATGAAAAAGAAGCCCATGCACCGCAACGAAGAGTAGCCCCCACTCGCTGCAACTAGAGAAAGCCCACATGCAGCAATGAAGACCCAATGCAGCCAAAAATAAATAATTTATTTTAAAAAAGAAACACATGATGGCGATAGCAAATAAGTTGAAAGGATTGTAATTAACATATACTAAAGGTTTTTAAATGGGAGGAGGATAATATATAGGTTAATGTGAGACCTTGATATATTAGGAATGAACATGTCTAGGGTGACAATTGAAGAAAAAAATCAAAACACATAATTTACAAATTAGAGGAAGGACAAAAAGGAATAAAAAATGATCAATTGATTAAACATAAAGAAAAATAGAGAAAAAAGGATAAATAGAAAGTATGATATAACATGGTAGATTTAAATCTAAATATATCAGTAATTATTTTAAATATAATTGTACTAAAGATTCCAGGTAAAAAACAAAGATTGTCGTAATACACCTATATTTTAAAATCTAAATTCTAGATGCTAAATCCTTCCAGATAAGGGTACAAAAAGATTAGGAGTAAAAAGGTCATATAACTATCAGACAAAATAACTGTTATGGTAAAAGATTTAGTTCACTAGGAGGATTTAACAATTTAAAAATGTATGTGCTCTTATAAGCAAAATCTTAAAAAGTATAAATCAAACTTTGAAATACAAAGGAGAAATAAGCAAAACCACCATCACAGTTAAATTTTAATGTATGAGTCTCAGAAATTTATAAGAAAGGAGATAAAAATCAGTAAGACTTTATAAGATTTTAGCAATGTAATTAACACATTTGATCTAGACTTATTCTAGAGCACAGTACAAAATTCTTTACAAACTCATACAGAATATTTATGAATATTATTCTGTGCTGGGCAGTAAAACAGTTTTCAACACATTTCAAAGGTTTGATGTTATACCACATGCTCAGTCTTTAGTGTGATTAAGAGGAAAGTCAGGGACAAGAATAACTATCAAAGACCTTCACATTTGGAAATTAAGAAATACATGTCTGTATAATTCATGGATCAAAGAGCTCACAATGGAAATTGGGAAATATTTTGACTGGAACTATAATGAAAATACTATATAACAAATCTGAGAGATGCAAATAAACCAGCAGAGGAAAACTTATAGCCCTAAATGCTTATATGAGAAAAGAAGAAAGCCTGGAAATAAATAAGCTAAGCATTCATCTCACTAAGTTAGAAAAAGAATAGCAAAATAAATGCCAGGAAACTAGAAGGAAGTAAAAATAAAGAGTAGGAGTTTAAGATAATAAATGTACAATAGGTGTAATAGAGAGGAACAACAAAGACAAAAATTGGTTCTATAAAAAGATTAATAATATTGACAAATCTCTTTCAAAGAAACGGGGGGAAGGCACAAATGAATAATATTAGGAATGAATAAAGATACAATAACTCAGGTGCCACAGACATTAAAAAGATCAAATAACCTACACATATCCTCCCATATACTTTAAATCATCTCTGAACACCTAATACAATGTAAATGGTAGTTAAATGGTTGTAAATATGATATAAATACTATGTAAATAGTTGTCAGCATTAGGCAAATTCAAGTTTTGCTCTTTGGAGCTTTCTGTATTCTTTTTTTTCTTTTTCAAATATTTTCGATTTGAGATTGTTTGAATCCACGAATGCAGAACCCTCTGATACAGCCGGTCGACTGTACAACAGAAACGGTTTACAGTGCAGTGGGGAAATAACGGACTTTCCAAAAAATAGTCTTGGCATTACTGTTTATCCACATGGAAGAAAGTAAAGTTGGATCTTTGCCTCAAAGCATACCTCAAAATCAGTACAGGTAGATTAAAGACCTAAATGTGAAATGCAAAATGAAAACTCTCAGAAGAACATTTAAAGAATGTCTTTGTGCCCTTGGGGGTAAGGATAGATTTCTGTAACAAGATTCAGGAAGTACAGATTGTAAAACAAATGGCAGATAAATTTGACTAAACTTCTAGTTATCAAAAGACACTATTGAAAAAAAGCCTGTCTACAAAGTGGGAGAAGATGTTTGCAACATGTGAAAATAGATGCATCATGAACTCCTACAAATCAAGAAAATAGTAAACCTGTAGACAAATGGGAAAAATAAAAAAACTTACAAAAGATGAAGAAAATTCCATAAAATAAACATGAAAAGATACTCAATCTTCTTAGTCAGGAAACTGCAAATTCAGCCTGCAATTATCTCGCCCATAAGATTGGCAAAACTTTTTTTAAAAACCCAAACAATATAAAATGTGAGATTTTAGAGTTTGGACACTTTTGATTCAGTTTGCAAATGTCTTGTAAAGTTAAAAAACTATATGTGCTGCAACCAAGCAGTTTCACTTCTGAAATTCCTTTAAGCTGAGGGCCTTTTGAAATTTAGTAAGTAATTAATGCCATATTTGAATGAGGTCCAAAATGATAACCCACTAATGCTGAACTCCAGGCTAGAATCAGTTGTGTTTCATGAGGAGGAATCAGTATATTTTTACAAAACACTTTCATTTTGCTATGGTAAAAGTGGTTTTGAATTAATTTTTATTAATGTAAGGTAATATTTTAGGCACTGACTTATTGAAAAAAACTGAAAGGAAGTGTACATTCCAAAATCTCATTTAATATTAAAAGTAGTTGTTTTTGTTTTTGTTTTGCGGTACACAGGCCTCTCACTGTTGTGGCCTCTCCCATTGCGGAGCACAGGCTCCGGACGCACAGGCTCAGTGGCCATGGCTCACGGGCCCAGCCGCTCCGTGGCACGTGGCGTCTCCCCGAACCGGGGCACGAACCCGTGTCCCCTGCATCAGCAGGCGGACTCTCAACCACTGTGCCACCAGGGAAGCCCCAAAAGTAGTTTTTTAAAACTCTGTCATGACACCTGAATACAATTAGAACCTATATTAATTGACTCGATGACCAAAAAGATTGATGAACTGAAACCTTATAAAAGTGCAAATGAGTTTTTCAATAGTTGACTAAAGCCACCCCATGTCACATAAGGGTCCCAACGAATAATTAAAGCTAGTCACTTGGAGAAGAGCACAAAAACATTACACTAGAATACAACAGTCCTGCTGTCTTAAGGAGGAAGACTAAGTGGCATCATCAGCGTCTGAGGTCCCCACAGATGACCTACCTGGCCTGGGGGATTTGTTAAATAATGGGGCATGGTTTTAGGGAAGCTCTGGCAGTTTCAGAGAGCTGTGGAAAAGAAAATGTACCTCCACATATTCAACTTTAAACTTTCTTTCCGGTTTTCCACTTACCCATTTTCCATTGGTGTGTTTCTTTCCTCTTTACTGTCAGGAAGGGCCACCTTCAGAGGGCCAGTTCGATCCAGTATGACATCAGCCTGGTAGAGACAAGCAGTACCAGTGTCCACCACAGTGAGTAAATTCAAAATGAAGTGCTTATTTTAAAGCCCTAGATTAGATGGTGGTTGTTACATGGGATTTGGATCTATGCAAAAAATGGTTAACCCAGAAGTTTTTTCTGTGGGTTTTTCATGTGAAGATGAATTTCTTACTAGCTATATGACACAAGTCACCTTTTTACCCCAAAGAAAACCATGTTATCGCAATATGTGAAATTACGATGTTAGCTATAATGTGTTACATAGATTACTGTAAGGGACTGATCTCTCCAGAAGTAATCTGAAGTGGGCTGGTCGACAGGGAGGAGGAGGAGGAGGATTTTTACCTACAAGTATAGGCAAATCTTTGGGAAGCTTGTAGGTCAGTTCATGTTTTAAAAGTATTGTGAGACTTCTGCTTCTGACCAAGATGGAGTAATAGGGCCTGGATTTACCTACTACTTGAAAAATTTAAAAATGGACATTATACATTAAGCAATGGTTTTCAAGACATTGGACGACAGGAAACAAAGGAGCGTGATCCCCGAGAGATGGGAAACAGTTGAGATGAGCCAATGATTGCCTCAGATTATTGCCTTGAAGGAGTTTCCAGGCTGTGGCACAGGGGTTTGGGGGGATGGCCCAGGCTGAGCTTGGTTGATTCCCTGAATTGAGAAGATGAAACTGAGAGTCCAGAAACATCAATGTGGCTATAGTTCACTGAATGGAGTACTGGAAAAGAGAGAGCTGCAAAGAGAGAGAATTTCAGAGATCTTCAGTTCAAATATTCAGCTGAGTAATAATCAGCACATATATAGTAGGAAAATACTTGAGGTTAGGGTAAGAATTACCTGACAGGATTAGAGGTACCCAGTACTCACACAAGGCTAGGAAAAGTGCCTGTTCCCAATAATAAGGCTAAAAATCCTAAATATTCATTGGGTAGTAGGTAGCGTACACAGGAGAGTGTTTCCCCAGTAGTGGGGAATAATTAGCCCTAGATTGAGCACTGCTCCAGTCCTGCCTAACAAACCTTAAAAGCAAGAACTGAAAGAATCAACTTGTTTCCAAATAACTGCATCTGGGATCAAAGCTCAATAATACAAAAAAAAAAAAAAAAAATCCAGTACCCAACAGGTAAAATTCACATATCTAACATCCAATCAAAAATTACAAACCTGTTAGTTTAACATATGAATATCAGTCAATGTGATACACCACGTTAATAGAATGAAAGATAAAAACCACATCATCGGGCTTCCCTGGTGGCGCAGTGGTTGAGAGTCCGCCTGCCGATGCAGGGGACGCGGGTTCGTGCCCCGGTCTGGGAGGATCCCACATGCCGTGGAGCGGCTGGGCCCGTGAGCCATGGCTGCTGAGCCTGTGCGTCCAGAGCCTGTGCTCCGCAACGGGAGAGGCCACAACAGACCCATGTACCGAAAAAAAAAAAAAAAAAAACATCATCACAGTAGATGCAGAAAGAGCATTTAACAAAGTTTGACATCCATTTATGATAAAAACTCTCAACAAAATAGGTATAAAAAGATACTTCCTCAACACAATAAAGGCCATTTATGAAAATCCCACAGCTAACATTATTATCAATGGGGAAAAACTGTAAGGTTTTTCTCTAAGATTCAGTATAAGGCAAGGATGCCCATTCTCACAAGTTCTATTTAACATAGTACTGGAAGTACTAGCAAGAGCAATCAGACAAAGAAAAGAAAAGAAGAGAAAGGAAAAAACATCCTGATATGAAAGGAAGAAGTTAAATTATCTCTGTTTGCAGATGACATGATCATATATGTAGAAAACCCTAAACACTCATTAATAAACTGTTAGAACAAATAAATGAATTCAGTAAAGTTTCAGGATACAAAAATCAGCATATAAAAATCAGTTGCATTTCTCTACACAGTGATCTATACAAAAAGGAAATCAAGAAAACAATCCTATCTTCAGTAGCATCAAAATGAATAAAATACTTAGGAATAAATTTAACCAAGGAGGTGAAAGATCTGTACAATGAAAACCATACAATTCCAATAGCATTTTTCACAGAAATAGAAAAAACAATCTTAAAATTTGTATGAAACCGCAAAAGACTCTGAATAGCCAAAGCAATCTTGCAGAAGAGGAGAGTTGGAGGCAACATACTTCCTGGCTTCAAATTATATTACAAAGCTACAGTAATCAAGGCAGTATGGTACTGGCATAAAAAGAAACACATAGATAATGGAACAGAATTGAGGAAACCAGAGATGAATCCCATCATGTACAGTCAATGAATTTTTGACAAGGGTGCCAAGAATACACAAAGGATAGTCTTCTCAATAAATGGTGTTGGGAGAATTGGATATCCACATAGAAAAGAATGAAATTGGACCACTATAGTGCATCATACACAAATATCAACTCAGAATGAATTAAATACTTACATGCAGGACCTGAACCATAAAACTCCTAGAAGGAAATATAGGAAAAAAGCTCCTTGGCATTTGCAATGATTTTTTGGATATGACACCAAAAGCTCAGGCAACAAAAGCGAAAATAAACAAGAGGGACTACATCAAACTAAAAATCTTCACACAGCAAAAGAAATAATCAACAAAATGAGAATGCAACCTAAGGAATGGGAGAAAATATTTGCAAACATATATCAGAAAAGGGGTTAAAACCCAAAATAAATAAGGAACTCATACAACTCAATAGCAAAAAAACCAACCAACCCATTTTCAAAATGGGCCTCTCCAGCATGCTAAGCTCATTCTTTCTTTGAGTTCTCAGAGAAATGTACATGGAATGCCTTTTTACCGCTATAATTCTAAATATATGAAATATTAAAATAACTGTTTATAAAGCAGTCAAACGGGATTTTAAGTGTAGGATTTCTTATGAGTTAATCGCAAGTTTTATTTTTTTTAAACCTTAAGTTCAAGTAAGATTCCTCTCTCTTCTTACTGAGTGTCATAGGACCAATTACATCTTAATACATAAGCCCATGAAGGAGACAAAAAATTTCCCAGAGTTTCCAGAAATTAGTTTTTTCCTTTGTGTATGTGACCAAAAAGGAGGAGAGGAGCAAAGGACCTGAATGGACATTTTTCCAAAAAAGATATACAAATAGCTAACAAGTATATGAAAGGTATTCACTATCATTAATCATCAGGGAAATGCAAATCAAAACCACAATGAAATATTACCTCATGACTATTATCAAAAAGATAAAAGATAAGTGTTGGCAAGGATGTTGGAAAAAAAGGAAACTTTGTACACTGTTGGTGGGAATGTAAATTGGTTAAGCCATTATAGAAAATGTTATGGGGCTTCCCTGGTGGCACAGTGGTTGAGAGTCTGCCTGCCAATGCAGGGGACACAGGTTCGTGCCCCGGTCCGGGAAGATCCCACATGCCACGGAGCGGCTGAGCCTGTGAGCCATGGCCACTGAGCCTGTGCGTCCGGAGCCTGTGCTCTGCAACGGGAGAGGCCACAACAGTGAGAGAGGCCCACACACCGAAAAAAAAAAAAAAAAAAGAAAATGTTATGGAGTTTCCTCAAAAAATTAAAAATAGGACTACCATATAATCCAGCAATCCCTCTTCCTCAAACAGATAGCTGTGCTCCCATGGTTATTGTAGCATTATTTACAATAGCCAAGATATGAAAACAACCTGTGTCCATCAATGGATGAACAGATAAAGAAATGGTGGTATATACAACGAAATATTACTCAGCCTTTAAAAAGGAGATCCTGCCGTTTGCAACAACATGAATGGACCTGCAGGACAGTATGCTAGGTGAAATAAGCCAGACAAAGAAAGAAAAATACTTCATGACCTCATTTATATGTTTTTTTAATTTTTTTTTTTTTTTTTTGGCCACACTGCCTGGCATGCAGCATCTTAGTTCCCTGACCAGGGATTGGACCCGCGTCCCCTGCAGTGGAAGTGCAGAGTCCTAACCACTGGACCACCAGGGAAGTCCCACATATGTTTTACCTACAAAAAGTTACACAGAAGCAGAGAGTAGAAGAAGGGTGGTTATGGGGGTAAGGAAGTGCGAGAAGTGGGGAGACGCTGGTCAAAAGGTTGCAAAGTTGTGCTTATGTAGGGATGAATAAATGAAGAAATCTAAAGTACAACATGATGACTGTAGTTAATAATGCTATATTGTATACTGGGAATTTGTTAACATGTATATTTGTTACATGTATATGTAAAAAAGTAAAATTGAGTAGTGGAAATCACCCAAGCTGAACAGAAAAAAGAAGAAAAGATTTTTAAATCAGGATAGTTTGAGACTTTGCGACAACATCAAGAGTACTAACACCCACATTATAGAGGTCTCAGAAATTGAGAAGAGAGAGAGAAAGGGGCAGAGAATTTATCTGAAGAAATAATAGTTGAAAACTTCCCTAACCTAGGAAAGGAAACACATCCAGGTCCAGGAAGCACAGAGAGTCCCAAACAAGATGAACCCAAAGAGGTCCACACCAAGACACATTGTAATTAAAAATGGCAAAAAATTAAAGGTTAAGAGAGAATCTTAAAAGCAGTGAGGGAAAAACAACTAGTGATGTACAAAGGAACTCATAACACTGTCAGCTGACTTCTCAGCAGAAACTTTGCAGGTCAGAAGGGAACAGCACAGTATGTTCAGTGTGAGGAAAGGAAAAAACCTACAACCAAGAATATTCTACCCAGGAAGGAGAGATAAAGAGTTTTTCAGACAAGCCAAAGCCGAGAGTTCAGCACCAGTAAACTGGCTTTACAAGAAATGTTAAAGGGACTTATATAAGCAGAAAAGAAGAAACCACAGCTAGAAATATAAAAATTACAAAAAGAAGAATCTATAAAAACAGACTCATAGATGCAGAGAACAAATGGGTGGTTGCCAGAAAGGAGGGATGGTGGACATAATAGGTGAAGGACATTAAGAGGTACAAACCTCCAGTTATATAATAAATAAGTCATGGGGGTGTAACATACAGCATAAAGAATGTGATCAATAATATTATAATCACTTTGTATGGGACAGATGATTACCAGACTTACCATTATTTCATAATGTATGCAGATGTCAAACCATTATGTAGGACACCTGAAACTAACATAATATTGTACATCAACTATATTTCAATTTAAAAAAAAGAAAAAAGAAGAAATACATAGTATAGCTACTGTGGAAAACAGTTTAGCAGTTTCTTAAAGAGTTAAACATAAATTTATCTTAATATCCAGCAATCCCATCCCTAGATAACAACCCACAATAAATGAAAACATATGTCTACACAAAGACTTGAATGTCCATAGTGGCAATATTCATAATAAACCCAAAGTGGAAATAATCTAAATATTCATCAACTAGATATGGTATGTCCATAAAATGGAATACTGTTCAGCCATAAAAAGGGACAAAGTATTGATACACTCCGTAACATGGATAAATCTTTATGCTAAGTGATACCAGCCACAAAAGACCACAAATTGCATGCTGGCATTTATATTAAGGTTAATGCTATAACATGGATGAACCTTGAAGATCCTATGCAAGTGGTTGCCTAGGGTTGAGTTTGGAATGGGAAGTGACTGCAAGAAAATTAAACATAGAATCACTGTATGATCCAGCAATTCCACTTCAGGGTATATACATAAGAGAATCCAAGCCAGGAGCTCAAATAGTTATTTGTATACCACTGTTCATAGAAGCATTATTCACAATAGCCAAAAGATTGAAACCACCCAAATGTCCATCAAGGAATGAATTGACTGGACAGCTGCATGTAAATCAGTGAAGTTAGAACACACCTTAATACCATACACAAAAATAAACTCTAAATGGCTTAAAGACTTGAACATAGGACATGACATCATAAAACTCCTAGAAGAGAACATAGGCAAAACATTCTCTGACATAAATTGTACCAAGGTTTTCTTAGGTCAGTCTCCTAAAGCAATAGAAATAAAAGCAAAAATAAACAAATGGGACCTAATCAAACTTATAAGCTTTTACACAGCAAAGGAAACCATAAACAGAACAAAGAGACAACCCACGGAATGGGAGAAATATTTGCAAGTGATGCAACCAACAAGGGCTTAATCTCCAAAATATACAAACAGCTCATACAACTCAACAAAAAACCAAACAGCCCAATCAAAAAATAGGCAGAAGAACTAAACAGACATTTCTCCAAAGAAGACGTACAGATGGCCAACAGGTACATGAAAAGATGCTCAATGACTCTAATTATTAGAGAAATGCAAATCAAAACTGCAATGAGGTATCACCTCATACTGGTCAGACTGGCCATCATTAAAAAGTCTACAAATAACAAATGGTGGAGAGGGTGTGGAGAAAAGCAAACCCTCCTACACTGTTGGTGGGAATGTAAACTGGTGCAGCCACTGTGGAGAACAGAGGTTCCTCAAAAAGCTAAAACCAGAGTTGCCATATAATCCAGCAATCCCACTCCTGGGCATATATTCAGACAAAACTATAATTCGAAAAGATACATGCACCCCTGTGTTCACAGCAGCACTATTCACAATAGCCAGGACATGGAAACAACCTAACTATCCACTGACAGATGAATGGGTAAAGAAGATGTGGTACATATATATACAATGGAATATTACTCAGCCATGAAAAAAGAATGGAATAATGCTGTTTGCAGCAACATGGATGGATCTAGAGATTATCATACTAAGCGAAGTAAGTAGAAAGACAAATATGTGATATCACTTATATGAGGAATCTAAACTATAACACAAATAAACTTATCTATGAAACAGAAACAGACTCAGAGACATAGAGAACAGAATTGTGGTTATCAGGGGGTGGGGTGGGGGAGTGATGGAGTGGGAGTTTGGCGTTAGGAGATGCAACCTGTTATATATAGAATAGATAACAACAAGGTCCTACTGTAGAGCATAGGGAACTATATTCAATATCCTGTGATGAACCATAATGGAAAAGAGTATTTTTATAAAGATTGTATATATATGTATAATGGAATCACTTTGCTGTACAGCAGAAATTAACACAACGTTGTAAATCAACTATACTTAAATAAAACATTTTTTAAAAAAGGAATGAATTGATAAACCCAAAGTGGTACATAAATACAATGGAATATTATTTAGCCTTAAAAAGGAATCAAATTCTGATTCATGCTACAACATGGATGAACTTTTAAGACAGTATGCTAAGTGAAATAAGCCAAACACAAAAGATAAGTATTACATGATTTCACTTATTTGAAGTATCTAGAGTAATCAAATTCATAGAGGCAGAAAGTAAAATGGTTGTTACCAGGGGCTAAGAGTAGGAGAATGGGGAGTTATTTAATGACTACAGAGTTTCAGTGTGGGATTATGAAAAAGTTTTGGAGATGCATGGCGGTGATGATTGTACAACAGTGTGGAACTGAACTGTACAGTTAAAAATGGTTAAAATGGTAAATCTTATTATGTATATTTCACAATAAAAAGCCAGAAAGAGATGCTGTTATTAAATGATACTGTCACATGATTCATTTTAATATGCTCAAAATTAACTTTTGAGTTACCAAGAGATTGAGATGTGTTCCTCTACTTTGTAATTGAGTGAAATCATGTATTTTAATGGTTTGGTGAGTTTGTTGATTTTTGCTAAATTTGTAATGATATTGTCTGGAACTACATTCATTTGTAAAATGCCTGATGGTAAAGTAACCAGTGAAGAAATTCTCAGAGAACTGAAAATTTATTATTGAGCATGGTTTTAACTGGGAAGATTAACACAAATAAGGCTAAGTCTGACAAGAAAAAATGTAGGAATGGTTGACTGCACAAGGATCTGTGTTTGTAATTCACCAATAACATTTCTCTTCAAAAGGTTTGCCTCTTAATTTTTTTTTCAGAACGTTCAATGGGATGGTAAAAACAATTATTTTTTAGAAAATGTACACACATAAAAAACAAGTCGACCTCTTCCTGTTTATAAAGACATGTTTGTAATAAAATAGAAGCTACCTTGGAGCCTTTCCACACAGAGGTACTCTGGTTTCATTGAGAAAAGAGTTTTGGCACTCAAGTATTAATTTGCTGCTTTCTTTTAATGGAGGCAGAAAATGTCACAACAAAGGGTAAAAATCTAGATAAGGTATTGGGCATAGCTCACAAAATTAGCTGACTGACCACTTATTTTTTCAAGGTCAAACAGTCTATCAGTAACTGCAAGGCCATTACTTTAAGAAAAGCAAAAAGAAATGCCTTTTACCGCATGTGACAAGATGGGTGTCATGAAAATAAAGTTGATCATGCGGACTGGGAATTGCTTAATGCTATTAGCTCGTATTTGTTATGAAAATCACAGCATGATGGTACACTCTATTTTAAATTTTATTAATGACCTGCTTTCACCAGGAAACTCCTCTTGCCACCACACCATAAAGCTTTATTCATTTTATCACTCCATTCTGATAGGTTTGTTCGTGTCACCCTGTGTGCCTCTGGAATATAAACCTCCCTAGGCAATCTTTTCAATTCGTTCATTAAGTAAACCTACAGCCTAAAGTCCTAGCATACATTTAGATTGTGATTATGTATCCCTATTGCCATAATGCACTAGTTCTGAAAGTACAGCTCTTCGAATGAAAAGAAAGCAGTGTAATACGTAATCATGAACATCAGGTGTCTGTAGGTGCCAGGCACTGTGGTTGATATTTCATTTCGGAGAAGGAGAACTCTTTTAAGTCCTAACACCCATTGTGAGGCAGGTGATATTATTCTCACTCTACAAAAGAGAAAACTGAGGCTTAGAGAGGTTAACATCAAGATCACACATGAGGTGGTAGAACAAGGATTTAAACCCCAAGTCCAAGTTTTTTGTACTGCACTTATGCTTCCACAGATATGGGTTACAGACTTAGGGCTCATCGGCTATGGAGGGAATTGTCCCTAGATTAAATAGTCCTAGCTAGCCACAGGGTTTTTTTGTTTTGGTTTGGTTTGGTTTTTAGTCCTGATTTTTGTTTTGTTTTTGCTACTTTCTTCTGTTTTCTTGCCATCAGTTATTAATTTTTATTGCCATTAGAATGACTCACTCTAGCAATCTTTTCCCCTTACTCTCTTTATCATTTGTAATATCTTTTAAAAAATTCACCAACGGGGCTTCCCTGGTGGCGCAGTGGTTGAGAGTCTGCCTGCCAATGCAGGGGACACGGGTTCATGCCCCGGTCTGGGAAGATCCCACATGCCGCGGAGTGGCTGGGCCCGTGAGCCATGGCCACTGGGCCTGCGCGTCCAGAGCCTGTGCTCCGTAACGGGAGAGGCCGCAACAGTGAGAGGCCCACGTGCTGCAAAAAAAAAAAAAAAAAAATTCACCAGGCTTGTTAGAACTTCAGGTAACAGAAAACAGGCAGTGAGGAAAGGCAGGGACACTTTCCTCTGTGAGATCTGAATGGAGGTGCTGACACAACTCTTCTGTGTTCTGAGGAGTGTTGTGTGGCTTATTTGGATGTTCTAGGCTAGTTCACCTCAACTCTTCATATCACAAACAGAAGGGGTGGATGTATATGTGTGAATAAAATAAAGATGTGTTGGAAGGTGTGCATATAAAGAAAAATTGAGATGGAGAAAACATCTTAATTCTTATTTTCTATAGGTCATGGAGAACATTGAAGAAATATCACAGTGAACCCAAATCACTGCTTTTTTGTTACAAAGGCAGAAAATGTAACACCAAAAGGTAAAAGAAATTAAACCTTAATCCTTCCTTGTTCTCTAAATAAAAGACTGAAAGTTATCATACCCTGAAACACCGTCTGTCCTATTGCAAGGTATGTGTGTTTCTGTCACGTGTATTATTAGCTCATTTGCAGTAGGTAAATAGGGGAGTAATATCAATCCTATGTGAAAGTTGCATTGGTCAAACATGATTTTTCCCAGTAAGCTAATGTGTTGAAGCATCCAGAGGCAAACTTTCTCACAGCTAATGAGAAACTTTTAGCAAATATACCAAGACCCTAAGAGAAAAGATGAAAATCCTAATTAAGGGCAAGGAGTGGCTTTAGTGGCTTTCACTGTGTTAAGCTGTCTGGGGAAGTTGCAAGTACAGGTAAGGCATGAAGACATTTCACCCGGTGATTAGAAAAAAAGCATTGATTGATGAAGGTGAAACCACACAACTTGTCTCGGGACTTTAATGACTCACAGGTGCTTATGTCTCGGTGCAGAAGGAATTCGGTGAGGGACAAAGTGGGAGGTAAGAAGTGGATTTATTAGTATAGGATGCTTGTGAAGGATACAAGTGGGCAGGCAAGAGAGCTCTGCCCCAGGAACTAAGTGGGCTACGTTTTTATAATCAAAGGAAAAGTGGGAAGTGGCAGAAGACCACCTTCTTCCACATTCTGTGAGTAGACATCACGCTTACATCACTAGCTCCACCTTTGGGTGGGTCAGAGGAGTTTTTGACCCTATTTGGTCAAACGGGGGCTGTCATGGTGCTATTCAAATCAGCAGAAGGGTGGTAACATAGACTAAAATATGTTAAATCATCTCAGGTTTCAGTATGAGGGTCTTCTACTTTGGAATGCCACCTTTCCCCTGTATTCCTGGCCTTGGTACATGCTCAGGTGCACGTCCTAAGGATCATTATCTTGCTGACCTTGACCAGCAGGCTGCAGGCCTTGTTTTTTCACTTAATGGCCTGGGGCATATCTCGTGCTTTTATTGCATGGTTTCATTGTTAAGCAGACCTGTTTTGTTTCACAGTGTTCTGATTGCTTTCTTGAGTGTTCATTAGCTTACAATGGTCTCTCAAAGTTCCCTTTGTGTCTATAATCCCCTAGTGGGACTTGTAAAACTACCTGTGTTAACTATCCTGTTCTATCCCTATCATTGGCAGCTACCTTTAGATCGTATTTTTAATATTGATGAAAATCATTTCTCTATGAGAAGCAATTGATTTCAAGGATCTATGTCTGAAAGAAACACAAGCCCCAAAGTTTAAGTACACAGAAGACGGACTAATGCTCAGTGGATTCTAGTGGAAATTTAGGATTCTAGCTTTTGTTACTGCTCAGGTTACAAAATCCCAAACTTATTTTCCCCATAAGGCTTTTAATTTTAGGGCATGATTTTGCAGAACGTTAGGTTTTCATCTTATTAGGAGCAAAATAAAGAATTCATTAGGCCAGAACAGTTTCTTCAGTTTTTCCAACTGTGTAGTTACCCTGAAATATAATAGAAAAAAACCAATGGCAACTTTCAGGACATACGAAGAGTTGTGGAGTAGCTTGGAGCAGTGGGAGTTCTGAACACCAAAGGTCTAGGGCTAGTAAATAGCTGAGGCAGAGGAGCAAGCTCTGGCCAAATGAACAGCCCACCTGTGAACAACTTCCCCTTCAAGCCAGTTCTCTACATCCTTGCCAACACTTGTTTTTGTTTGTTTGTTTTAATAGCCATCCTAATAGGTGTGAAGTGGTATCTCATTGTGGTTTTGATTTGCATTTCCCTAAATAGTGATGTTTAGCATCTTTTCATGTGCTTATTGGTCATCTGTATATCTTCTTTGGATATCTGCCTATTCAAGTCCTTTGCTTATTTTGAACTAGGTTTTCTCTTGCTGCTGTTGTTGCATTTTAGGAGTTCTTCAGATATTCTGGTTATTAATCCCTCAGTCGGTACACACTGACTTTTCCCAACAGTCTAGCCCAGTGTGAGCACTGTGAATTGAATCTGTCACTAGTGCCACTGATCCATTCATTCACTCATTCATTTACCCATCATTCACTTACAACTAATACTCATGAGCTTGAGGCACTAGAGTATACAAAACGAAAAACCCTCATAGAATTTTTAAAGACTATTTTTTAAAAAGGTTACACATTTATAGAATGATTGAGAAGACACTGCAGAGAGTTCCCATATACTTCCCTCTCCCACACAGCTTTCCCTACTATTAAACATCTGTGTAAAATGTACTAGTGTGCTACATTTGCTAATATAAATGAAACAATTATAAATTAAACAAATGAAACAACATTAACAAAAGTCTATAGTTTACATTAAGGCTCCTCTTTTTGTTATAGTTTTATGGATTTTGACAAATGCATCATTTTATGTGTCCACCACTACAGTATCATGTTGAATAACTTCACCACCCTAAAAATCTCCTGTGCTGCATCTACTCAGCCTTCCCAATCTCACAGTGATAACCACTAATCCCTTTACTAGCTCTATAGTTTTCCAGAATGTCATATAGTTGGAGTCATACAGTATGTAACCTTTTCAGACTGTCTTCTTTCACTTAGCCATATACAAATTAAACTTCCTCTGTGTCTTGTGGATTGATAACCTTTGTGTTTTTTAAAAATAGCTAGGTTATATGACTTTTGGTGGTTTAAAAAAGTTTTTATGGTAGAAAAATATACGTAAGATGTACCATTTTTACATATACAATTCAGTGGCATTAAGTATATTCACACTGGTGCAACCAACCATCACCACCATCCGTCTCCAGAACTTTCTCATCATTCCATACTGAACACTGTACCCATTAAGCAATAACTCCCCCTTCCTCCACTCAACACCCTGGTAGCCAACATTCTACTTTAAGTGTTTGAATATTCTCAGTACTTCATGTAAGTAGAATCATGTATTTGTCCTTTTGTGTGTGGCTTATTTCACTTACCATGTCTGCAGGGTTCATCAGCACTATCGTATGTATCCAAATTTCACTCCTTTATATGACTGAATAATATTCCACTGTATCTATCTACCACATTTTGCTTATTCATTCATTAATCAATGAACATGAGTCATTTCACCTTTTGGCTGTTGAGATAATGCTTCCATGAACATACATGTGCAAGTATCTGTTCAAGCCCCTGTTTTCTGTTCTTTTGTATCAATACCCAGAAGTGGAATTGCTGAATCAAATGCTAATTCTGTATTTAATTTTTTGAGGAACTGACATACTGTTTTCTACAGCAGCTATACCACTTTATATTCCTAGCAGCAGTGAACAGAAGTTCCAGTTTCTCCACATCCTTGCCAACACTTTTTTTTTCCCCCAATAATAGCCACCCTAATGGGTATGAAGTGGTATTTCATCATGGTTTTGATTTGCATTGCCCAAATGGTTAGTGATGTTGAGCATTTTTTCACATGCTTATTGGCCATACTGTATCTTCTTTGGATACCTGACTATTCAAGTCCTTTGCCCAGTTTTGATTTGGGTTGTCTTTTGTTGCTGTTGTTGCATTTTAGTTTTTTATATATTAATGGATATTAATCCCTCATCAGATATGTGATTTGCAAATATTTTCTCCCATTCTGTGGATAGCTTTTTTCACTCCATTTATAGTGTCCTTTGATACATAAATGTTTAATTTTTGATGAAGCCCAGTTTGTTTTTTCTTCTGATGCCTGTGACTTTGGTGTCATATCCAAGAAATCACTGCCAAATCCAATGTCCTGAAACTTTTCCCCTGTGTTCTTCTAAGAGTGGAGTTTTAAGTCTTATGTTTAGGTCTTTGATCCATTTGAATTAATTTTTCTATATGGTGTTAGATAAAAATCCAACTTCATTCTTTTGCATGTGGATATCCTATTTTCCCAACACCATTTGTTGGAAACACTGTCCTTTCCCATTAAATGGTCTTGGTGCACTTCCCCCAAATCATTTGACCATATATGTGAGGATTTCTGGATTCTTTATTCTACTCCACTAGTCTATATGTTTTTATTCAGTACCACAGTTTTGATTATTGTACCTTTGCAGTAAAATTTGAAATCAGGAAGTGTGAGCCTTCCATCTTTAATCTTTTTCAAGATTGTTTTGGCTATTTGGGGATCCTAGATATTCTGCTTATTTTTCTATTTTCTGTTAAAAATGTCATTGAGATTTTGAAGTGGATTACATTGAATCTGTAGATCACCTGACATCATACCAGTATTAAGTCTTCCAATCTATGAACACGGGATGTCTTTCCATTTATGTGTCATCTTTAACATCATTCAGCAATGTTTTGTGGTTTTCAGTGTACAAGTCTTTCACCTTCATTAAGTTAATTCCTATGTATATTATTGTTTTTGATGCTATTGTAAAGGGAGGTATCCTAATTTCTGTTTTGGGTTGTTCGTGTTAGTGTACAGAAAGGCAACTGATTTTGTGTGTTGCTTCTGTATGCTTCAACTTTGCTGATTTGTTTCTAAGTTCTAACAGATTTTGGGGTGCAGGGAACATTAGTGTTTTCTACATATAGGATCATGTATTCTGCAGAGATAATTTTACTTCTTCCTTTCTAATTTCAATCTTTTTCTTGACTAATTACTCTGCCTCAAACTTCGAACACTATGTTGAATAGCAGTAGTAAAAGCTGCATCTTTGTCTTGTTTCTTTCAGTCCTTCTCCATTGAGTATGTTAGCTGTAAGATTTTCATATGTGGTCTTTATTATATTGAGGTAGCTTCCTTCAGTTCCTGGGGGGGGTGGGTTTTTTTTTTTTAATCAAAAAGAACTTTGTCAAATTCTTTTTCGGCATCAACTGATGGGATCCATGTGTGACCCTCATTCTGCTAATGCAGTGTATTGTATTTGATTGGATTTTCATCTGTTGAACCATCCTTGCATTGCAGCAATAAATCCACTTGTTCAAAATGTATAAAACTTTTAATGTGCTCTTGAATTCAGTTTGCTAATACTTTAAGATGTCTGCATCAATATTCATCAGGGGTATTGGTCTTTTTCTTTTCTTGTGTTGTCATTGTCTGGCTTTGGTATCAGCAATACTGGCCTTATACAATGGATTAGGAAGTGTTCCCACCTATTGAATTTTTTTGAAAAGTTGGAGGACTGGAGTTATTTCTTCTTTAAATGTTTGGCTGAATTGAGTAAAGCCAGAGGTTGCAGGATTTTCCTTTGTTGGGAGGTTTTTGATGGCTGATTCAATCTCCCTTCTACCTATAGGTCTATGTAGATTTTTTATTTCTTCATTAATCAGTCTTAGTATGGTTGTGCTTTTGTTTTTAGAAATATATCCATTTCATCTAGGTTATTCAACTTGTTTAAAACTGCTCATAGTACTCTTATCCTTTTTATTTCTGTAGACTCATTAGTAATAACCCTACTCTTATTTCTGTTTTTAGAAGTTGAATCTTCTCGTTATTGATCTAGCTAAAGGTTTTTCCACTTTGTTAACCTTTTCAAAGAACTAGCTTTTAGTTCAAAATTTTCTATTGATTTTTTCAGTATTTTGCTTATCTTAGTTCTAATCTTCCTTCTACTAGCTTTGGGTTTAGTCTGTTCTTCTTTTTCTAGTTCCTTAAGTTATAAAGTTAGAATGTTGATTTCAGATTTCTTTTTTAAAACGTGAGCATTTACAGCTAGAATTTTCTGTCTTATGGGGTGCAATGAAAGCAGTGCTGTTTTGGTATGTTGTGTTTTGCTTAATGTATTTTGAGGATGTTATTAGATGTGTAAATGTTTATAACTGTTACATTGTTGTATAAAACCTTTTAACATATAATGTACTTTTCTGTCTCTTTAAATCCAAAAAGGTTGTAAGTCTATTTGTCTCATAATAATATACTGTTCCCTTTTGGTTACTATTTGCATGGAATATTTTTGCCCCTTATTTTCTGTGTTAGTGTCTTCTTTTGTGTTTTGTTTTATAGTGAAACATTTAAATTCTCTTTTTTCCTTTTGTGTGTATTCTATAGCTATTTCTTTGTGGTTACCATGGGGATTCCATTTAACATCATGAAGTAATGACACTAATTTGAATTTACAGCAGCTTAACGTCAATAGTGCATAAAAACTTTGCTCTTATATAACTTTGCCCTCACTCCCTTTCAACTATTACTGTCACAAGATTACATCTTTAAGCATTGTGTCTAAAAACATAAACCAATTAACTGTATTTTTATATGTTCATTCCTAAATTGTGTGGAAAACAAAGAGTTACAAATCAAAGTTATAATACTAGCTTCTATAATTGTTCATGTATACGTTTACTGGAGAGCTTTACTTCTTCATATGGTTTCCTGTTCCTATCCTTTGTCCTTTCATTTCAACTTGAAGAATTTCCTTTAGCATTTCTTGCAGGGCAGGTCCAGTTGTATCAGTGTCCGGTAATGTTTTAATTTCTCCCTCATTTTTGAAGGAGAGTTTTGCCAGATAGAAGATTTTAGGTTGACAGTTTTTTCGAGAAATCTGATAATCTTATTGAAGATCCCTTTTTTTTTTTTTTTTTTAATGTGGTACGCGGGCCTCTCACCGTTGTGGGCTCTCCTGTTGTGCAGCATAGGCTCCAGACACGCAGGCTCAGCAGCCATGGCTCACGGGCCCAGCCGCTCCGCGGCATGTGGGATCTTCCCAGACCGGGGCACGAACCCGTGTCGCCTACATTGGCAGGCAGACTCTCAACCACTGCGCCACCAGGGAAGCCCTGAAGATCCCTTTTATGTGATGTTTCTTCATTCTTGCTGCTTTCAAGATTCTTTCTCTTTGTATAGCTTAATTATACAGATTTTCCTCCAGTTGCAATGGGGATGTATCTTGATAAACCCATGGTAAGTTGAAAATATAAGTTGAAAATGCATTTTATATACCTAACCTACTGAACATCATAGCTAAGCCTATCCTATCTTAAATGTGCTGTGAACAATTACGTTAGCCTGTAGCTGGGCAAAATCAGCTAATACAAAGCCTATTTTGAAGTGATGTAATTTACTGAATACTGTACTGAAAAACAGAATAGTTGTACGTGTATTAGATGTTTACTCATGATCATGCAGCTGACTGGGAGCTGCAGCTTTCTGCCACTGCTAGGCATCATAAGTGCATATCTTACTGCATACTGCTAGCCTGGGAAAAGATCCGAATTCAAAACTTGAAGTAAGTATGGTTTCTACTGAATGCATATCATCTTTACACCATTGTAAAGTTGAAAAAATCCTAAGTCAAATTGTCCTAGGTCAAGGACCGTCTATAATGTATCTTGGTGTCTCTTTTGACTTTACCCTATTTGGAGTTTGTTGAGCCTCCTGATATGTACATCCATGTCTTGCATCAAATTTGGCAAGCTCTTTTGTCATCATTTCTTCAAATAAACTTTACGTAGCTTTCTCTTTTCCTTCTGGGACTCCTGTTTCTTCTTCCATTTGATGGTATCTTACAAATCCCTTCGATTGTTTACTTTGCTTTCTTAGACACAATTACTTCAACTGTCCTGTCTTCAACTTGCTGATGAGTTCTTTTGCTTGCTCAAATCTGCTGTTCAACCCCTCCAGTAAAAATTCTGTTATTGTAACTTTCTGCTCCAAAATTTGTTCGGTTCCTTTTTATAATTTCTCTCCACTGGTATTCTCATTTTATTCATCACTTTCTTGATTTCCTTTAGTTCTCTGAGCATATTTAAAGGTCTTTTTCTAGTAAGTTCAGTGTTCCATTGAATAGGCCTCGTTTCCCTGTTTCTCTGTCTGCCTTACAGACTTTTTGTTGTTGAAAATGGGGCATTTCACTATTACAGTACTGTAATTCTGGATATAACATTCTCTTCTATTCCCAGTGTTTACCAGTTGTTGCTGACTGCTGAATGCTGTTGTTCATTTGTTTTTGAGACTTCTCCAAGGTGCTTTTACAAAGACTATCCCTTGTGTGTGATCACTGAAACCTCTGTTCCTATTATCTCATGTTCAGCTGTTTTTAGAGATTTCCTTGAATGCCAGTTCTCCTTTTTGCATTTCAGCTGTGTGCTAAGGCACTCCTGCAGCTCTTAGCTTAGGCCTGCTTCTATCCTAGGGATCAGACCAAGATGAACACCTAAGGCTCTCTTAAATCTTTTCTGAGCATGTTTTGCCTGTACATTCATTTGGCATTCTGTATCTTCCCCTGGGTACAACTGCTTTTGAATGCCCGGTTTCTCAAAAATCTCACCCCAGCTTCTCCTCTAGGCCTTACACAGCCTGTTTTATGTCTTCACCAGGTGAAGGTGGCTGTGATTCTAGTCATCTTGCAGCTTTCACAAGCAGCGCCTACTCTTTCTTGCCTGATTTCCAAGTTATGCAAAACAGTGATAAGCACCTTGAGTCAGTCCTTCTAATCCCCCCCACAGATTAGAAATGACAAACAGTGATTTGCAAATAGTCTATTCTTCCTCTTCTGGTTTGAGGGAGGGAACTGGAAACCATCCTTCTGTCATTTTAAGAATAAGAGCACCACTGCATGGGAGGCAAGGGTGAGTAAAAAAATCACAAAACTTTCCTACCATTCTGAGGATGGGTTTTCTTCACTGGGCACTGTGTTAGTTGCTGTAAACCTTTGTTTTCCAGAGCACCAACAAATTTGGTTCACACAGTTGCTAGTTAGTGTCACTCAGCTCAATTATGTTTATTCCTATCTGTAATTCTAGTATCCTGACTAGGCCTTGAACAGAGTTATGTTTTAGATACATGTATGGTGACTGAATTTTGGTTAGATGTGGAGGTATTGTGAAAAGGTTAAGAAAATGGTCTCAATTATCTTCACTGATTTACATTTAAAATTAATGAATATATGTATTTTTTCCAATTTCTTGTAATTATCTTGCCTTTTTTACTGGCTGTGATGTCACTAGAGAACAGTAACTTTTATAAAAACTTTATGAAGTGAAATGCTCCATACACTCTTAGTACCAAGACATTAAATGAAGTTTATTGGGGCTTCCCTGGTGGCGCAGTGGTTGCGAGTCCGCCTGCCGATGCAGGGGACACAGGTTTGTGCCCCGGTCCGGGAAGATCCCACATGCCACGGAGAGGCTGGGCCCGTGAGCCATGGCCGCTGAGCCTGGGCGTCCGGAGCCTATGCTCCGCAACAGGAGAGGCCACAACAGTGAGAGGCCTGCATACCGCAAAAAAAAAAAAAAAAAAAAAGAAGTTTACTGGCCTCTGCCAATGTTTTCTACTTTAGAGTAGCATATATTCTTCTATTCTGTCTCCATCATGGCGTAAGGCAGAAATGAAACAAAAATAACATGTCTTGTAAATATTTGACTATTTTTCTCTACACAGGCTAATATTAAAAAAAACTTTCTGGTAACATTCTTTACATAGCACATGTATTAGTTTTGTTTATTTAACAAGGATGTTATTACTAATACTATGTTTTGTTATTTTAGGATTTTCATTAAGCAGACTCATTCCCTTTCTACAAATGAAAACCAAGTCAGTCATCTAAAATCTCAATTTCAAATCAAGAGGATTTAGTCTTCTGTTTTCATTAAAATGGAATTTATGGTGGTGTTCAAATGGGTTAGACTGAGCACAAAATGACAGAAGTAGATTTTTTTCTCAAAAATTTCTGCAGAATGCCTAGGAAATTCTCAGATTTGTAAAAGTTTATTTTACATTCTTTGCATGTTCATTGTGTTACATTTGTAATATAAATTAGTGGCAAAACTCTTGCTGTTTGGCTTCTCTTACTAGGTTGAAAAGTTGTTTTATTTACCAATGATGCAGGTTTAAGCAAAGTTGAGAATTAATTACAGTAGTGAACTGGCCTTCTGGACCTCCTTCATTACTCTAGCTCACAGACTATTAATTATAACAATGTGTAGGGTGTCTGTTTTGAGATCTTAATTCCAAGCTTCCTTACTCTTTTTTATATTGCTACTTGGCGTTTCAAGGAGTTTATTCCTTTGAAGCAGCCTTTAACAAGGCAAATCGTAGCTGCAGAAAGATTCTGCTTTGAAAGCACATTAAGGAAATCAATATTTTTTAAACACCTTGATTAAACTATCCTATCCTTGTCACTTGATAGAAGACAGCTCAGTATTGTAAAGAAAACAGTAAGGGTACATCTTCTCTTTTTGTGCTCATGTCAACTTTTTCATGTGATCATTTTTCCAGTTTCACAAATAACTACAACAATTGCCATTTCTAGGAATTATGTTTTTAGCTGAAACAGTAACTTTTTCTTTAACGCCTGCTTTTAAGACAAGCCTTTCAAAACCATAATAAATTGTTTTAACTTTGGTTAAATTATCATCCCCCCCCCCCACTTCCACAGAAATGTCAAAGCCTCTGAGAGGCAGGGCCAATAACTTTTGTTTTCATCAGTACTACTCCTTCAATTGGTTCAACTTCTTCCCTTTCTATTTTGCACCAGGGTTACAATCTTGTGGCCAAATGAATTTACTGTTCCTAACAAGCTCCAAAGTCTCAGCTATAAAAAGGAGCCATATATTAACCTCGAATACTGTATGAAATGACCTTGCAGCAGACTCTCCTTTGAGTAGTAATAAAACATTTTATGTATTAATTTGAAAAAAATAAAACAGTTCATTCAACCAGGTGCATTTTGTTCATATTTCCATTTTCAAAATCTTTTTTCCTCTACTGTTCAGTCAACTCTGGTTAATATCAAGGACAAAGAAAATTTACAAAGTATTTTCCTTATATGCTATGTAAGCATAACCAAGGACTTAAATTTTGAGATATTGTCTACTTGATAATGGGTACCAATGTCAAATAATAGAAGAGTTAATAAATAAAAATGGCTAAATATTAATATTCACAGATTAAAAGTTCTATGGCAATCAAACTTTTCTTTGGACTTTCTTCAGGAACTAAGATTGAGTATAACCATAAATAAAAGAAACTTCTTTTAAGTATTTTTATCATTTATATAAATAAACAGCAAGAAAAAAAATCTTTTGAAGTAAAAATTGGTTTAAAAAAAGTGATTAAAAATAGAAAAGCAGGGGCTCCCCTGGTGCAGTGGTTGAGGGTCCGCCTGCTGATGCAGGGGACACGGGTTCGTGCCCCAGTCCGGGAAGATCCCACATGCCGCGGAACGGCTGGGCCCGTAAGCCATGGCTGCTGAGCCTGCGCGTCTGGAGCCTGTGCTCCGCAAGGGGAGAGGCCACAACAGTGAGAGGCCTCCATACCAAAAAAAAAAAAAAAAAAAAGCAGGAATGTTGTTAACATATTTGATTTCACTTACCTTGCAAGTTTTCTTCTATCCCGTTAAAACCACTATTACAAAAGTGCCATATATTATATCATACTGTATTAGAATATGCTAATACAGATATCCTGTAACAAAGACCTGGAAAAAACAAGTGCCTTAGGCAAGAATGATGTTAATTTCTGTCTTGTAAAACAACACTCTGGAGATAGGCAGTCCAAATCAGTAATGGTAGCAGTCAACAAAACTGTATGGCAACCTATCATTCTGTGTGATCTCTTCCACAATAGAGCATTGCCTCTTCTGTAGAGTCTAAGATGGCTCACAATCATATACACTTCTAAGCAAAAGGATCGAAAAAAGGCAAAAAAAAAAAAAAAAAAAAAAAAAAAAAAACAAGTCTGTTTTAAAGGACACGTTATCATTTCCCTCACATTTCACCAGCCAGAACAGTCATACTTGCAAGGGAGACAAGGATGTAGTCTTTATTCTGGTGTGCATGTGCCTAGCTGAAAAAATCAAAGGTTTTATGACTGTGTGAAAAGGAAAGAATGGATATTGGGGGGTAAACTGGTGTTCTCTACACAGATTTCATTTTGATATTTACATAATGAGAAATTTAAACTTGAAAAACATTTTACTGCAAATATGCCAGGATTTGCTAACTAACAAATACCATTATTCTGGGTTTTCTTTTCTAAAGGATTCGTTCACTCACTCACTAAAAGCAATGAAGTACACAGCTATCTGAGTTTCCAAGGTATGTTTTATTGGTATAAAACCAAAATAAGGTGATGTAATTGTCTCATCTGCCAATTAGTTAGTTACATAGAAGTAGGTGAAAAAAAGAATTTTCTGTTGCAATCTCTTTATTGAGGGAAAAGGAAAATTTTTTTCCTTATAAGGTAATAAAATACTGATTAGTCTTGGCAATTTATTTGACTAAGCAACTTTAGAGTACTAAAACAAAAATAGTTCTTTAACGTTTATCAAATAAGTAAAAAGTCAGCAATTTGTTACAGCTTCTGAAAAAAATGGTAAAATTGTAAAGCAGAGAAAAATTTCCCAAGCCATCTGTGTATTTTTCTCCTTTATTAAGGGAGAAAAATATCTTCATGAGTCTGCTGAAAGATCATCTAACATTGCAGAGGCAGTCATGGAATGTCTTAAATCTCCTTTCTGTTGATGAATCCTTTTTCAGTCTTCCTATGCAGAAGACTATTTAAAGTCCTATCACACAGCAGCTACATATCTGGTGCAGTATAGCCATAATTGGTTCACTTGTGCCTGATGCAAAAGCTCTCAACTCCCGGTCTTGCATTACATTATGTACAAACTTGTCCTTCATCTAATATATTAAAAACTACCAAATAATCTTCAGAATGTCAAAGCTACAAAACAGATACATATAAAGTTTTTTGTTTGTAATATACATATCCCAAGTTTCCATTTTCTGGAAAAGACAGAGCCCAAAAGTTATACATTGTGAAAGCCACTTTACAGGTGGCTTTATTTAGATGACCCAAGATGAATTAGTGCCATTATTGTTGTATAGCTGTGAAATAGATCATCATCCTTTACCTCATTACATTTCTTCAATATAAAGTTTCCAGTGACTATGCGATCACATCCAATTTCTCCATTTCCAAAGAAGCCAAATAAAGGAACACTAGGAAAAAACTTTCTAAATGCATCAGCCTCCACATTCCCCTTGTCTCTATAATACTGAAAGCCCCTGCCAACACACGCAAACATGAAGCCAATGGTATTCTGCTCTGGAATGTTGGCTGCTTTGAGGCGCTGCATCGCAGCCTCAGCAGTCTTCTCGTCATTGACATCCTCATTGAGAAGCACTGTGGCACTCTGGATACGATGTCCACTAAATGATAGTCCAACCACACCGGTGGCATCAATATCCAGAGGGTTCCTAGAAAATTAAATTAGAAAAGTGGTAATATATCATGAAACACCATTCAAATTTACAGTATAAAAGAAAAATCCTCCTGATTCATTGGTTGGGAAATGCTGCCTTAGTCTACAGTTAGTCTGAGGCTCTCTCTCCCTGATCAGAGGACTGTAATAAGGGTTAAAAATTAAACTACTGAACTTAATATATTAAAAGAATGCAGAAGGCAGATCTACAGAGAAGAAAGCAACCATTTCCTCAGTCACAGATACAAAGGGGCAAATGCATCATCTCCACAAAGATTTCTAAAATCCAACCTGAGCTTTAGAAGGGTACAGAGTATTCTTACCCTTCTCACTTCCCTGAAAAAGGAATCTTACAGTTTTATGCATATATACTATGATATAAAGATTTATATCATAAATCTTTATATGATATAAAGATTTTGGTATTATTTACCTCTTTGGTATCTTTTCTCCCCTACCTCAGCTGTCAAATTCTAAAAGAGGTGTATTAAATATTCAATCATGGAGGATAATTTTATTAAGAACCCATAATTCCAGAAGTTTTAAGCTCTATACTGTTTGGTCCATAAAGGAATAGACTATATTGCTGTGTCTTATTTATTGCTTTGACCTGATAATTTAGCTTAATCTGAAGGTAAAATCATACATTTTCTTTTTGTTTCTATTTGCCTGGTATTTTTTTTAATGAAATATTTTATGGCTACTACAGAAAATAAAAATAAAATGCCAATAAAGCTGTAAAGCATAATACAGTGAACACCCATTGGGGGAAAACCAAGTAAGTACCTAACATTTCTATCAGAGTTTACAAAATGGACAGGATTCACTGGGTTAACAGGAAACTAAGACTTAAAAAGCTTAAGTACTGAGCAACTTAAGGCTAACTAGTGGCAAAACCAGTTTCTGAGGGGCAGAATCCGTCTTCTGAAGTCTGCTGCTGTTCCTTTAACCTTATTACATTTCCTCTTTGGTATACAACTGCAACACGAGTCTCCTGCCTAAAAGGAATTATTCACCTTTTTTTGGAGGGAGCGGGGCTCCTATCTGGACACCATTAACATGGAGCACTGATTTACTCAATGGCTTCCCTTACTCCATGACACAGTGTAAAGACCACGTTAAAATTAATGTGTCATGTAAGAGGTAATGATTGTTGAGGGTATATTTCCCACATTAGGTATAAAGAGTAGATTATATACAGACAGCCACGCTAACAGGCTAGCACCTCAGTTATATGTCTGAGTGAGTTGCATTTCAAAAATCAACTGTTTGTTAAATTGCCATTGCCCTATCTGTATATAATTTCAAAGTAAAAGCAAAGACAATAAGGAAAATTAGGCAAAAGGAGAAATAACCCACAGATAGCTAACAAGAATCAGGTATACTTATGCATGAAATCCAGTGCTTAGAGTTCAGTGCAGTTGGCTTTCCTCCCTTCTTCCTCAGGTTCCAGGGAACTCAACTTAGCTACCTGCTTTCCCTGATCCATCAGTGCTGACTACCAGGAGGGAGATGATGACTGGGACGATTTAAGCTGCTCTTAATGATACTGATCTCTAACAGTGTGCCTCCATGTCACCACTCTAGGATCCAAATACTAAACACAAATATAGAGAGAAACAAATAATAGTGCTTGCAGGAAACATCTGGAGAATGGGGGCGGGGGGGGGTATCTCATTTTCTTGCTTTTGGAAACAGCTGATATTTATGTCCACTTAATTAGCTCAAACTCAAAATACTACATACTTTCATTGGAAATGGAAAAGTAAGTAATGGTTCAAGATAGAAGAGCAAATATTTTTTATCTTTGAAAACAAAAGCCCTAATAATAAAATGAAAGATGCATCATTTTTGAGCTTGAAAAAGCCTTTCAAAAGATCTAGTATAGTACTTCCAATAACGTGGGCCAAGTAATATTGCTATATGTGGAATCTAAAAAAATGGTACAAATGAACTTATGTACAAAACAGAAATAGAGCCACAGATGTAGAAAACAAACTTACTGTTACCAAGGGGGAAGCGGGGGGGGGGGGGAAAAATGGGAAAAGGAAAAAGCAAAAAAAACGCTACTATATATAATATAGATAATAAGGACCTACTGTATAGCACAGGGAACTCTACTCAATACTCTGTAATGACCTATATGGGAAAAGAATCTAAAAAAGAGTAGATATATGTATATGTATAACTGATTCACTTTGCTCTACAGCAGAAACTAACACAACATTCTAAATCAATTATACTCCAATAAAGATGTTAAAAAAAAAAGATCTAGTACAGTATTTCCAAAAATGTGTGCCAAGTAATACCAGTCAGCCTGCAAGATGCTCCATGGACAAAAGGTTTTGTGGCCAAACAGATTTAAAAAGGGCCACAGGTAATAATATTCCCCCTCCCTCTAAAAGATCCAAAGTACTGAGCACAGTATTAGAGGCTCTGAGAAGTTTTACCATAAAGATGTACTGTTGAACCATGCATTTCCTTTAGAGGAGGAAAACAGAACCAGAGGAAGTGACATACATATGAACCATACGAAGTCCCCTACGTACGAACAAGTCCCCTACATACGGACAAGTTCCGTTCCGAGAGCATGTTCTTAAGTCCAATTTGTTAAGTCCAACAAAGTTAGCCGAGGTACCCACCTAACACAATCGGCTATGTAGTACTGTACTGTAATAGGTTTATAATACCTTTCACACAAATAATACATAAACACAAAAAATAAAACATTTCTAATCTTACAGTTCGGTACCTTGAAAAGTACAGTAGTGCAGTACAACAGCTGGCATACAGGGGCTGGCATCCAGTGAACAGGCAAGAAAAGCTACTGACTGGAGGAGGAAGAGGAGGTGGGAGATGGTAGAGCTGAAGGATCGGATCACTCTAGGAGATGGAGGGAAGCTGCAATTTCACTCACGCCTGACGCTGATGGCACAGGTTCTGGTTCCTTGCTGGATTCAATTCTATCTACCGTCTTGAAAAAGTGATGTCTGGGTAGTAGCTCTTTTTTTCTCGTCACAGATGACACGGTAGCACTGGATGGCATTCTGAACAGCTGCTACAACCTTTGTGTACCATTTTACGTCCGGGTCCTATGCCTCAAAAAGTTAACAGTGCCTCCTCAAATAAAGAAAATCCCCTTGGCCATTTCCTGTGTCGTGAATCTCTTCGGTTCTTCAGTTACTTCTTCTTCCTCTTGTTTCTCTGTGCCCTTTCTCTGGGCCCCCAATTCCATCAGGTCTTCATTAGTAAGCTCCTCATGTTGCACAGCAAGGAGTTCAGTGAAGTCGTCCTCTTGCAGACCTAGCTCCAGCTTCTCGCTGAGGGTCACTAAGTTGCTGAAGACCTCTTTGGATTCCTCATCCACCTTCTCAAATCCACAAAAGTCATGAACAAAGGTTCTTCCAAACCCCATTCATGGTGACGGCCGTAACCTCACGCCAAGCAAAGTCAATGTTTCTTATGGCCTTGTATATGTTATAGTCCTCCCAAAACTGTCACAAGGTTGTTCCTGATTTGTCACTTGCCTTTACTGCCTGACGAAAAGTGTGACATAAATAATATTTCTTGAAAGTCATTATAACTCCCTGGTCCATAGGTTGGATGAGATACATTGTATTCAGTGGCAGATGCACTACTCTGACGTGGGATGAAAGCCGTCTGTGAATGGGGGGGTGGCCCAGAGCACTGTCAAGGAGCAAAGGAATGCTGAACGGGATGTCCTTCTCCAAGCAGTATTTCTCTACCTTCAGGATAAAGTGGTGGACAAACCAGTCCTGGAAAATGGCCTATGTAACCCAGGCTTTGGGGTTACTCTTCCACACAACAGGAGGAGAGCCCCTGGCTATGTTTTTAAGGGCTCTTGGGTTCTCTGAATGATAAACTAAGAGAGGCTTCAGCTTCATATCGCTGGAAACACTGCCACCAAACAAGAGTTAGCCTATGCTTTGCTGTTTAGAGCCTGGCATCAACTTTTCTTCCTTACTGATGTAACTTCAGTCTGGCATCCTCTTCCAGTACAGTCTCATCCACATTAAAAACCTGCTCAGGTAAATACGTGCCTTCATCAGTAATTTCTCGAAGCATTTCAGGAAATTCCCGGGCAGCTACCATATCTGCACTCGCTACCTCACCACTTACTTTTACATCATGAAGGTTGACTCTAGTCTTGAACCAATGAAGCCAGCCGTGGCTGGCATTAAAAGATGTGCCCTCTGATTCTTTGCCATGTTTCTTCTTCAAGTCTTCATAAAGGCTCTTAGCTCTCTCTTGAATCAGCATTAAGCTGAGCGGGACTTGACACTGAGGCTGATGCTGCATCCACACACTGGGAAGCTTCTCCATCTCCTCCATCACTCTTCCACACTTCTTCAATAATATTGTCAACATCACCGGCACAGCAGACTTCACATGTTCTTGTCCTTGTCCTTTAGAATCGTGCCAATGGTTGAACGATTCATGTGATGATAATGAGCGACGTCTACCATCTTTTTGCCTCGCTCCACTCTCTCAGTTCTTTTCGCCTGGCGTTTCGTAGCAGTATCAGCTACATCACCACTGCTTTTACGCTTGCTTCCGGACATGCTGGGCTTTAATTAAAGACGCTCTACTCCTGTGCTCTATACAGTCCTGTACAGTACACAGAAGCACCACCACCTGTAGAGGATGCACGCACGTGACAACGTATGCCCGTCACGTGAGCTAACTTACATGACTGGACATGCAAACGCACAAAAGTTTTGCAACTTGAAGGTTCGTTATGTAGGGGACTTACTGTATTGCAGTTACAGAGTACAGAGCTGCCAAGGGAGCTCAGTAGACAATGTTGAAAGTCAATTTTGAGGAGAGTGTAAGTCCAACTAAGTTCTTAAAGGATAACATATATAAATTTCATTCTTCAAAGATAAGCAGAATTACATTGTGTGAGCCCCTCAACCTATGTCTATTGCAAAACGGAATTAACTATTAGCAATTCTTTAAGCATGTTTTTTAAAAACCCAAACATTTCCCATGAGAACATTTCCCATGATGTGCAGAAGAAATCAGAAGCACATCAGACATACTTTTCAGAGGTCAGCGATGCCAGGTTGTCCACCTGGCCTCCAGCCAAGATGACATTCATGTCACTGAAAGTGCTCACTACGTGCTGCAGATAATTACTGGCTCCCACTTTACAGCAATTATAGCCAAATACAAGGACCACACGAAGCTCAGGGTTATCTAAAAGACCTGCAAAGAAATGAAGAGAAACAATTAAAGATAGCCTTAAAAGAAATCCTTAAAAAGGACTTCTTCATTTTATTATTTTGCAAAATGAAATGTTACTACTAATGTCCTGTAAGCCTAGTTAAGTGCAATTTACTGTTTAAGCTGTCAAGTCCTCCATTTTTTTTTGCAAACTTTAACATTACTCAAAATCTTTGCTATAATTAATTTTTCATCATTAAGAAAACTAAATGGCTATTTGAAAATAATACAATCAACACTCAACACAAATAAGGAAGCAGCTATGTAACTGAGCAGCACCCTTGGTGGGCCTTGGTGCAAGCCATTCCACACAGCCACCACCTGGAATGGAAGGGAACACTGGTTTACGAAGGACAGAGTTAGACGCAGTGGGAATTTAAACATCCAGAGAAAATGGACAGAAACAGCACTAACCACCTGTAGTGGGTTGAATGTGGTCTCCCAAAGACATATCCACACCAAATCCCTGGAAAGAAGAATGTGACCTAACTTGGAAAAGAAAAAGGGTCTTTGCAGATGTAATTAAATCTTGAGATGAGATCATCTGGATTATCCATAGGCCCTAAATGCTATACAAGTATCCTTATAAGAGAAATAGAGACAGACAGAAGAGGCAATGTGACCACAGAAGCAGAAACTAGAATGATGCAGCCATAAAGAATGTCGATGGCATCAGATGGCATCAGATGGAAGAGACAAGAGATTCACCCCTAGAGCATCCAGAGGGAATGCAGCCGCATCAACACCCTGATTCCAAACTTCTGGCCTTCTGTACTGTGGTAGAATAAATGTTTTAAGCCACTAAAGTTTGTGCTAATTTGTTACAGCAGCCTCGGGAAACTAATACACCATTAAAATACAGGCCTTATCCGTATATTCCAGGAAAGGGAGTGGGAGTGAAGGCGGTTTAACCATTGGAAACTCGTTCCAAAGCAGGGAAATACTCAATTCTGCAGCATATGGATGAAAAGCAGCTACCACTAGAGGGCAGCATAGTCTATCAGGAGGCCAGGCAGTACTCATGCTCTCCCCTACAAGCTCCCAGGCTTCCACATGTGCCTCTTGCACCTTGTTTATACACTATCAACTTGAAATTTGCCAAAGAGGTGGCTCTGGGACACAAAAAAGAAAAAAAATCGAACACCTGACTCACATTTGAGTTTCCACTGACTCAGCCACATGACTTCCATCTTCACAGACGTAAGGGTAAATAAAGGTTGCCAGAAATAAGGCTCACTTAATAAGGAAACGGGGTGGAGTGGAGGTGAATGACCAATTCCTAACACCAAATAATGATTTATCTAGGGAGACTGCCTCTGGTCCATTTCTAATTCTCTATACAGTACATCACTGATTTGGAGAGTAAGAAGGATATTAGTACAAACCAGTACTTTCAAGATACCACATACCCCAAACCATTACTAAAAGGTCTTTTTCTCCACACAGACCAGCCCAGCAAATTTTCAGGGAATGTTTTTTTTTTTTAGAATGAATTTTCAGAGTCAAAAGAGGCCCGCGGGATCAACAGTTTACGATTGTTTTACAAAGAAGGGCTGCTAATCCTAGAAAAGTGACTGGCCCAGGATGGCATCTTGGCAGGCTCTAGACCCACATCTCCTGACTCTCAGTTTTAAGTTTTAGAAACCTAAAAACTTCTAAGTCTCTCCCTTTCCTGATTTCTAAGCTCTAGGCCCTCTTTTACAATTGCCTACTAAAATTTTCATCTGAATGTTCTATAGGCACCGCCCTTATTCATCCAACGCACACTGAGTGCTTTCAACATCCTCCTCCAGTGGTCCTGTTCTGCAGCGGGACCACACACACAAATCCAGAAACCAGACTCACTTCCCCCACCCAGCTTAGAGAACAAATCTGCCTTAGCCCAGGCTGGCTGCCTGACAGAGCAGACAGGTCTGTATCATGTACCAGAAGGAAGGTACAATTCAAACTCCTTGCCACTAAAAATTGAGGCCTAAGGTACACGAGCCTGAAAAGACGACTACCCAGCTCATTCTGAGGGAAATCCTGGCACTGCCTTCAGTCCTGCCTCTGGGGAAACAAGAGGGCCCCCTGCTCACTACCAGCATCTGAGGACTTTCAACTTCAGGAAAGCACGCTAGCCGTATTTCTCAGCTCCGATGTTTGTTGGGCAGATGACGTACTCAACCAGCCCAACTATAAAAGGTGCAAGTTCCAGTTCACTGTTCCCTGAAATCCAGCATGAGATCTAAGTCACAGCAGACTGAGTGGCTGAAGAGCACGTGGGCCATCCATTCCTTTGGCAGCTCTAAACATTTTTAGATTTCGCAGAGAGCTCAGTAACCAGACCTCATTGGTTTGGATCCTACAACTGCTTTTATTTTAAGGAGACATAGTTGGGGTGATGCCATTGGTGTTCATAGAGCGACATGGGGTAAGAAACAGCTTGAAAAACAAGCTATTTTTTATAAGGGCATATGGATCCACTAGAATTTATCTCAGTTCTCAGAAAACTGGGAAGAGTTAATGCTTCTTCTGCCCTAGCTCAGCCAAACCTGTGGCCCGCATCTAGCAAATGATGGTCTGTATCTCATGTACTACCCTCCATCCTGGCTGCACTATATTCCTCCTACCCATGTCCCTCAACTCAGAATTCCTCCACTGATAGTCTATGTATCTTTGTATGCTGCCTTAAATTCATTTTCAAATAAGGCAGAATATAAATTCATTATAGCTATGCTCAAGCTGGAAGGTTAAATAAAAGGAAAAAAATCAAATCTAGACACCCAGAGCAGCATCAGATTCAGGAAAGCCAGCTATGAAGAACTATTCCAAAGATTGGCTAGGACTGCTTGAAAAGGCTTTAGGTCTGCATGTTCAGATTTCTACTCTTTTTAGGGAAGCCTCTCTGAAGACAGCTGTTTTATGGCCTGTTTGAAAGTGATGTAATCTAAATGCATGTAGAAAACCTACGTGAAAGATAATGTCTACTTGAAATGAGAGGCTAATACCATGAACAATTCATAGATAGAAGCTGTGTTCTCTCTTCCTCACAACCTTAGTTTTAGCATCACTTCCTTCCCTGTATCTTTATATCCATCTTTTTTACACTAAACATGTATAAATATGAAGTCAGCATGCTAGGACATGACTTTTGGAGTCAGACCTGGATCAGAACTCAGGCTCAACCCCTTGTAGCCATCTGACTGAGCAATTTACTAGACTTCTCCAAGTGCAGCTTCCTCCTCTAAAACTGGGGCAGGAGCAAGTCTCAAGAGTGGTTGTGATGATTAAATACGATAATGTCATAAAGAAGCATCCAACCCTGCTCAGTGCCTGGCCCCCGGTAAGGGTTCAATAGAGGAGAGCTATCAAAACATGTTCTGGCTAAACTGAGGGCCCCGACCACGAGTTACACAAGTTATCAAATAACAAAATGACACTCAAGATGCTATTTCCCCTTGAATCAAATGAATCTGAAGTAAACATCATATTTAGAGGGAAAATAAAGAAGCCATGCATCCTATCCTCCAAACCAGCTAGGGGTCACCTGTGCTGCTCTGGCTATCACGTAGTTGTCATGCTTTTTTGAGATGCACCTTATCCAAAAATCTCTCTGATATCGTTCAATGAGAAGCCGTGTCACTTTACGTACATGGTAGGGGATTAAAAAAAAGAGAAGCACCACACCAGTCAGCTCCATGAACATGAGCCTACGGCCCGGGGGCTCAGGGGCTGTATCCTGCCAGCACCATAACCTGGGAGCTGGCCCCCACCAGGCCCCTTACAGCTCTCTGCTAGTTCTCTGCTCTCTCCTAGCTCTTTGCTCCTGGAGCTGAGTGAAATCCACCACAAAGGGCAGGAAAGCCTAACAAAACACTGGCACCACCCTCCTTCTAAGTCACCTTCCTGCTTTAGAAGCTGCCCAGCTTTTTCAAGGGCTAGGCAGCTTCTAAAGCAGGACAAGTTCCGTCACTTAACTTTTAGCACCATTTTTCTCTGCTTTGCACCTGATCACTGACTGTGGCCCCCCTCAAGATTCTCTATGAAATCTCCAGATAATTTAAAAACTTAATCCCTCAAATTTTTTTTGGACTCTGACTTAACAAATAATTAAAATTTAGTTTTTACACCTCTCAGTTGCTGGCAGAGTAGTCATCAGAAGACCAAAATGAAGTAAGCAGAAAGGACCTGAACAACCACCATTAATTACCTGATATTCCTAAATTTGTATCTGTGGTCGAGACCATTCTCCTGAGCTCCAGACCCACATATTCAACTGTCTAATCAATGTCCCCATCTCAAATTCAATGTGTCCAACCCAGAACTGATCATCTGACTCCTCCAACCTGCACCCCCGTCTATTCCTTACCTCAAGGAGAAGGTACTGCACACCTGCCCTGGCAGAAACCTCGGTGACAACACTGCCATGGTCCTCATTCTCACCCCACAACGTTTTAACCCATCACCTCACCCTGTGGACTCACGTGGGAACTTCATCTTGAATCCGCCCATGTCTCTACAACACCACTGCAATAGCCACAACAGCCCCCCGTTCTCCCTGCCTCCTCTCTTGTGTTCCTCCAAAGCCATCACACCACAGCCAGAGGGGCATTTTCCAAACACCCATCAGTTGTGCCACTCCTTAGTTTAGAATCCCTGCTTCCGCTGCCCTTGGGCACGTCAAGATCCTCAGTGCTGAGCGGCCCCACCCTGCATCCCAGGTCCACCTCACACCACACCCCTCCTCACACCCACCACTCTCCAGATACGCTGGAACTCCTTACATTTCCTATGAGCCGGTGAATCCACAGCACCTAAATCCTGAAGGTGACATGCCAGGCCCTTTCTATGTCCTGTCCTTTCATCTATTTTTGTCAGTAAGCTGGAAAGAAGGTACAATACTCCTACGATACTCTTCCTGACTCCACATCTGAGGGACCTCTCCCCACTCTAGTTCACTTCTACCCAGCGCTCTGCCCAAATGTAACTTTCCCAACACCCCAGAGTGGATTAAGTCCATGATTACGCTTCCTAGCACCTCTTCTACTTGGTAACACTTACACATCTGTGGTACTGTATTCAAAGTCGGCCTGGCCTGCTAGACTGGAAGCTCCAAGAGGCAGGACAGTGTGTCTCCAACAAGCATCTCCAGAGCCCCGCACATACAGGGACTGGCATATGACATGCACGTGAACAATTTTTGAATGAATGGACATTGGCTTTTATGGCACTTAGGGAACAGAGGTATTTTTGCCTTCACTCCTTAAGAATTAAGTGCTAGCCCACATACACATACACACACACACACACACACACATATATATATATATATATTTTTTTTCATTCCAGAGACTATTTTTAACACAGGATACCATACAGACTTTAAAACAACCTATGCCTTGTTTAAGAAATGCACCATTTTGGTAAGTTCTTCAAAAAGAATATAAAAGGAAGTGTGCATGTGTATGTATATATATAAATTTATACGTACCGTGACAGTGGGTCCGATTACGACACTCCCTATACACAGGGTCTGGAAAAACTATAATATCACACACGAGGTCCCTGCGCACAGAGGCACTGCCTATTTCACAGGAGGCCGAGCTGCTTTGTTTGCTCACACACCACCTTCTAGTCAGAGTGGCCAAGTCTACAACGCAGGGGAAGACAGACCACAGCCCAGGGGCCAAATCCGGCGCCCCTGCTTTTGTATAAAGTTTTATTGGAACAAAGCTGATTTTTTTACGTACGGTCTATAGCTGCTTCTGCACTCCCAACGGCAGAGTTGAATAGATGCAACTGAGGCTGTATCACTGGCAAAACCTGTAATATTCACTATCTGGCCTTTACAGAGAAAGTGTGCCGAGCCTGAGGGACACTACCAGGAACGGGGTGCCTTCCACTGTCATGGAACATAGATAAGAGCTGCTCCGGGTGTCTGGTTCAGGAGTGCAGGCTGGGACTCTGTGGAGAAGGCACGTCCCACAGGCTCCAACCACACTCCTTGCCCACCTCAGAGGCCTCCATCTTCTCGTCCACATAAAAGACAATGGTCCAATTTTAGAAGTGAAGAAAATAGTATGGGAAAGAATAGAGATTATCATCTCAATCTAGGCAAAGCCTCAATTTCCAGAAGGCCACGAACAGGATGAAAATGATGCCTTGGAATAAGCCAAACTTGTCGACAGCAAACAGCTTAGGGAAAGGACACCAATAAAAACGCTTCACACAGCAGAAAAACGTGGGGCTCTTTTTCATTTCAGTTTTCTGATTCCTATACTTACTTAGCACTATAATGCAAACAAGGTCTAAAACAAATCTAATAACTATTTTATCATAAAATAGATGGTTCCTTCCACTCAAGATTTTGGGTCTTTCTTGTAAATGGACAAAACTAGGCTTCTAGCTTCAAGCATACCATGAGGACCTCAATCATGGATTCCCCAGGTTGCTATAGGGCAGAGGGGAGCATGCCCAGGAGGCACCACACTTACTTCTGGACCCAAAAAGACAGTACAGAGGAGGCTTGGCAATACGACCTTCAGCAAAAGCACTGAGTCAAAGGCCAAACAAGCTTCTCTAACAAGTTAACCCCAATCAGTTCATCTGCAGAGGTAGATGCAAGGCCTTAACACTGCTTTGCTTGAATAATTAGTTTGTTGCTTACTATATTAAATTAAGCTTTCTTATCAGAGCTTAGAAACTGAGCTAACCCTTTACCTCTTCAAAATCACCTCATGGGGCTTCCCTGGTGGCGCAGTGGTTGAGAGTCCGCCTGCCGATGCAGGGGACACAGGTTCGTGCCCTGGTCCAGGAAGATCCCACATGCCGCGGAGCGGCCGGGCCCATGAGCCATGGCTGCTGAGCCTGCGCATCCGGAGCCTGTGCTCCACAACGGGAGAGGCCACAACAGTGAGAGGCCCACGTACCGCAAAAAAAAAAAAAAATCACCTCATGCATGACCTGTCTACTCCAGCCAAGCTTCCTGCCTGACATATCCTACTAAACCGTTGTTTGATATACTCTGCCTTAACTTACACTACTTCTAAAACTTATCAAGTTCGTTACACTTATTCCCGTCTTTCTAATTAGTCAATATTGAACTAACCTGTATCTTTTACTTTTTGAAAAAACAAATGCTTACTACTAGCATAAAAGAGAAATAAAACCTTAAACTTTTCAGCTTCAAAAAACAAAATAGGGCAAAATGATAAGAAAATGTTCAAGGGCTTCCCTGGTGGCGCAGTGGTTGGGAATCCGCCTGCCAATTCAGGGGACACGGGTTCGAGCCCTGGTCCGGGAAGATCCCACATGCTGCAGAGCAACTAGGTCCGTGAGCCACAACTGCTGAGCCTGCGCTCTGGAGTCTGCGAGCCACAACTACTGAAACCCGCGCGCCTGGAGCCGGTGCTCCGCAATGAGAGAGGCCACCGCAATGAGAAGCCTGCGCACCGCAATGAAGTTTATGTAGCCCCTGCTCGCCACAACTAGAGAAAGCCCACGCGCGGCAACGAAGACCCAACACGGCCAAATAATTTAAAAAAAGATAGAAAATGTTCAAAGAGGAAGAAATCCTTCAAAATTCAGAATTAAATACAAGTAAGTTTATTATCAACAGAGTATTTATGGAAAATTCATCTCTGGTTCTCTCAGGCGTTAATGTAAGTAAAATAATTTAAAAAGTAAATCCTTTCTACCAAAAAAAATATTGCACTAGCCTCTGTTAATCACTAATTTGAATTATCCACATCTGAAGTAACGTGTACTTAATTCAGACTCTCTCAAAGTAACAAACAAAATCAATCAACAATACGGGCAATTAATGGTAAATAATAACAACTTACCTACTTCAGTGAGTTGATGCCTTTCTAGGGTTAATTTCTTTGGATCCATAATAAAATGAAAGGGTTTTATTTTTATTCCTTCAATTTGAGGAAATAATAGAGCAAAACCAGATTCTCCAATTTCTATTTCCTGAGGCGGATTGCTACTTGATCCCATTGGCGTCACTAGGAAAAAAGTTAAACAGTTTTGTGAACAGATTCAATAAAAACAGAAGTTTCATCTGGTGTAAATTACCCAGCCACATCTAGGTAACTTCAGTTTAGGTCACTAACATAATCAATAAGGTAACAGGCCACTATCTGAATAAGAGTTTCTCAGCTTTGAAATTTTTAGAGGTATAAGGTCATGATGCCTAAAATTTACTTTCAAATTGTTCAGAAAGAAATGTTTTCATAAACAAAGACAGAAAAAGCAAATGTTGCAAAAAGTTTTTACAACAGTGAATCTAGATGAAGGATATATGGGTGTTTATTGTACTATTCTATTATTCTTTCCCCTTTTCTATAGGTTTGAAGCTTTTCTAAATAAAAAGTTGGGGGAGGGTAGTAACTACATCTTCACAGCAATTCTACTTGTAAAATTTACCATAGAATATTTGACAATTATATACACTATATATATTGTGTGTATGTAGAACTGAAATACACACACACATATATATATAACTGTATTTGGAAATAAGGCCTTTAAATAAAGAGGCAATTAAGGTTAAATGAGGTCACACGGGTCAGGCCCTAATCCAGTAAGATTGGAAGAGGAAGAAACATCAGAGATGAAGGCATACAGAGAAAAGAGAAAAAGCTATGTGAGGACCCAGTGAGAAGGCAGGTGACTATATGTAAGCCAAAGAATGAAGCCTCAGAAGAAAGGAAAAATGCCAACACCTTGGACTTCCAGACTCCAGAAATGTGAGAAAATAAATTTCTGTTGTTTAAGCCATCCAGTCTATAGTATTTTGTTATGGCTGCCCTGGCAGACCGATGCAAATACTGCAGATTACAAGTTCACTGAAAACTGTATTTTATATAAGCATATAAATACATATTTTATGCACGCACATACATATACACACATATATACATATATCTATACTACATACCTATCTGTATCTATACTCTGTACTACATACCGAAAGTCCGGAAGGTTATGCATCATAAAATTAACAGAGTGGTTAACTCTACTTAAAGCTTAAAGTAGCTAAATTTTTTTCTTTTTTGCTTTTCTAATTTTCCTTTACTTTTTTTAAAAAACAGTAAATGGCTCTTACTAGTATAAAAAAGAAACTCTTAAAAAAAAGTGTCAATAAGCCTTTTAGAAACCAAAGATAGAACAAAATGGAAAAAAAAGTTTTCAAAGAGAAAATTTCAGAATCTAATCAAACCCCACATAACATATTCTGAATTTAAAAACATGAAAATAAAATTTCAGAGTTTATTATGAGGCCCTCTTCTACAAAAAAATATCAAAACATAAAAGCAATTTTTTTTGTCCGTAGCAGGCCTCAAGACAATCCGAATTAAAAGCCAATAGGCTTTGATATAGAAATTGACAGGATGCTTCTAAAATATATGTGGAAATGCAAAGGACCTAGATAGCCAGAGCAATTTTTAAAAAGAAGGACATCAAGATCTATGGAAATCAATCTTTAAAAAGAACATCAAGACCTACAGTAATATGACTCTGGCTTAAGGATACACAAATAAATCAATGGAACAGAATCAAATCCAGAAACAGACCCACAAACATACAGCCAATTATTTTTGACAAAGGTGCTGAGACAATTTAATGAGGAAGAGAAGTCTTCAACAAATGGCATTGGAATACCTAGATAAACATATGAAAAAAAATTAACCCTGAACCTACCTTATACCATACACAAAAATTAATTCAAGTTAAGTCACAGAATACCACTCTAGAATTTTTTTAATTAATTACTCATATGCAAAATAACATGAGTCTCAAAAATATTACGTTGTTAAAAATATTTATGTTGAGTGAAAGGGCCAAGATAAAGAGAGTATATAACATGATTCCATTTATATTACATTCAACAACAGGCCAAACTAACCTATGGTCACTGAAACTGGAACTGGGGTTTCCTATGGAAGTAGGGAATGGCAGGAAGAGGGCATGAGGGAACTTCCTGGGGTGATGGAAACATACTAAATATTGACTAGCATGTCAGTTTCACCAGGATATGAATTTGTCAAAACTCATTAAACTGGGGCTTCCCTGGTGGCGCAGTGGTTGAGAGTCAGCCTGCCGACGCAGGGTATGCGGGTTCGTGCCCCAGTCCGGGAAGATCCCACATGCTGTGGAGCAGCTGGGCCTGTGAGCCACGGCCGCTGAGCCTGCGCGTCCAGAGCCTGTGCTCCACAACGGGAGAGGCCACAGCAGTGAGAGGCCCGCGTACCGCAAAACAAAAAAAAAAACTCATTAAACTGTACACTCAGGATTGTGCATTTCACTGTAAGTAAAGTTTACCTCAATTAAGAAAGAAAATGATCTTTGTATATATAAAAATGAACGAATTCTGAAACTTGAAATTTTTCCAACCTAAAGAAGGAAGAATGGGTTAGTAGCCAATGGCTATTTTAGAAATAATCACTAACTGTGGCCTAAGAAAAAGGAATCCAATCAACTGTCTTGGAAGTTTTTCTGTGACAATATGTGGAACAAAGAAAGTGCTCAGCTGTGGGAACAAGCATCAATAAGAAGGGTAAGGAGTAGGTCCAAGAAAACACACGAGGACAGGTCCCGACTAAAGGGAGGTGGAATGATACTCACTCCCGACATGAAGATCGTTAAGAGAACTTAGAAAGATGACCAACTGCTCTGAAACATGGCAAACATGAGAGGAAGGCTTCAGGTAGACTGCCCACCCCTCACTATGGGGTCATGGAGGCAAGAGTGTTGCCTAGGTTGGCCCGCCCTCTCCTGTCCCTAACCCCCAGCTGAAATTTTAAAGAGGAGAACCTTAGTCATGCTTTGAGGATGCCACAGAGTGTAGGGTGGGGAGGTCTAGCCAAATGATGTAAGAAATGAAAGCTATGTTTCTATAGAAGCATTTGTTAATAACTAATAATGGTAAAAACTAGATCACTCATTTAAGGAAAATTCGAAAGTTAAAAGAAAATCAGTCACTGCCGTCATTTTTTTTAATCCAATGAGAAACAAAATTTGTGGTGATGGGGCTGATATAATAGTATAGGGGTGGGAGCTGATAGCAGGAGGGATGAAACAGTCCCCCATCAACCATACATTTACCCTTATTCATCTGTAAACACTTGAAATCCTTTGTAGTTCATTGTACAAGACTCCTAAATTCCAATCAAAAGTCTCTCAGTGAAGATTAAAAATGCCATTTACAGAGTGCAACAAGAAATAATAATAGCTAAAATTTAGTTACCGCTTATTGCATATCTTTATTCTAAATGCTGTACATGTGCTAACTCATTTAATCCTCAAACCCTCTGAAGAAGGTACTATCAATCACCCCCATGTAATAGATGGGGAAACTGAAGCCCCATGAGGTCAGCTAACTCGCCCAAAGTCATACCGATACTAAAGTGGTACAGCTGGGATCCCAATCTAGGGATGCGAACCACTGCACCATGACAGCTTTAACAGGATCTCGCTCCCCCCATTAGATACAGAAGTCAAAATAATTAAAACCAGCAAAAATTCACCAGTAGCAAACTTGGAAAAGGAAAGTTCCTGCTATAAACTTCAAACAGTGGCAGCCAAGCAGAGAAAGAGAAGTTTCCTAGTAAGGCCTACTGCAGCTCCTGATCCCAGCCCTACCTCACCCCATCCACCAGAAACAGTTCTGGCTGAACTGACAAAAGTAAGAATGCTTGCTAATACTTTCCAGTTTGTAGAAAGGAAGAATGAGATCTCTGTCCTCTTATGAATGGCTCCTGGAAAGATATGAATTAGATTTGGTTTACATGGACAGCCCTGAGACTTGAAATATTAACCACAATAACCTAAGGAAAATTAATATAAGTGAAATATAATACGATGGTATATATGACCAACTTTATTGTACTTTGGATGGCCAAAAATATAAACATGCTGTTAAGCTACAAATAACCCACCAATCTATAGGACCCCACATTAACGCAAAGCATGGAAATCAAGTTGGTATTCTCTCACCTACAATCCCTGGGGTCACAATCCCAAGGACTTGGCATTGTTTTGGAAATAGCTTCTCAAGGGCAAATGCTGCTTCCATAGAAGTTCTTTTCCTGGCTGTAATAACACGGGAAAATTATTCATTGTCATCCATTTAAGGTCAAATTTGATGAGGAAGGGGGAAAAAAAGCAAATATTAAATTATTTTACACCAGAACACTTTACAAGGAAGTCTAAAAGCTTTGATTAAAAACAAAAAAGTTTTTCTGTTTTGAGCCCTTGTTTTATATGTTAAATTCTAAATCTGACCTTAAACATTGCCAGTTTGCCTTCTTCTACTCGTTCACATACTGCTTCTGCCTCAATGACATCAGCAGCAGAGGCTGATTTTCAGATTTACTATTATACCTTTCTGTTCAGCTGATATTAAAGCATAATGACTTTTCTACCACACTGTCACCTGGATTCAAATCAGACAATGATAATCCACTATCCAAGTCTAACTCTGGGCGTCAGTGTGCCCAACATGGGATATAGTCTACTTCTTCGTTTAGCAAGCCAAGAATGCACAGTATCTACAGATAACCTTGGTAAATGGTCATCCAATACAATAAAAGGCTTGAATACCCAAAGACATCCTGTTTTAATAGTAAAAAGAAGTGCCTGGAGGATTAAAGTATTTCAAAAAGAGAAAAACACCTTACTAAAGAATTTGTTTCAATTGTACCACAAGGTTTAGAAATCAATCTTCAAAGCAAAAGGGCTTCTCAAAGTTCAAAGACAGCATATTCATGCATTCTCCAGGGAGTAGGCCCATAGCCTCAGAAAGTCAGTAACTCTCAGAATGAGAATAGTATTTATCTCCAGAAAGAGGTACATAGGGAACAAAAAAAAAATCCAAAACTTTTTCCTTTGATATTCACCTCTCTTATGGCCACGACACTCCTCCAGACTAATGAAAGTTTCTGAATCAGCCATGTAAAGAACTGTCTGTGGTAAGATATGGACATTCTGCAAAGGAAAAAAAAAAAAATCAGAACCTGATCACACAAATCTATGAATGCTTTTGTGGTCCCTTAAAGTTCTGCCCTGCCTGGTCCAAACTACTGTTGCCCTACCCTCCCTTCAGGTCAGTATTGGCATTCTGAGTCGATCCATTTCTCACTCATTTTTCACTCATGAGCTTTCATTTTCAGTTCATTCATTTGTTGAGCATCTATTATTTCTTCAAGTCAAACTCATTCCAGCTTGACTCAAGAAGTTCATTTTCACAATAATTTAAGCTCTTAAACAAAAACATTAAGTACCAGCAAAAGATTCCACTTGCTTTATGTGAACAGGTACCACAGCAACAGAAACATCTCAGCAACAGAGGGAAGGTATACAGACCGTATCATTCCTCTTTTTATTGCCTACCGAATTAAATAATCCAGGCCTTCACTTCCAGCTTGCCAACTAGTTTCCTACAGGAATCTATTGCTCACTACTATCCAGACAAGCCCGCTTCTGTATATATTCTTCTGCAGCTCTCTTCCTTTTGGACTTGATTTAAGATGGTTTCCCTTAAGAAACAGCGTTAAGTGCCAGACCCACTATAAAACCTTTTCCTAGACTTCCTTAGGACCTCTGACCTCATATGCGACATCCCTGACATCCCAGTCATTCTTGTTTGTGTCTTATCTCCACTTACTAGGGAGGGCTGTAAGCCCTTACAACCTGGGCTATTTGTTTTCCACCAAAATTCATAACAGACAAGTGGCAAAGTGGCTCAACTAAATGAAAAGGTGAACATATTTTTCCTCCTAAGCTGGTTATTTTCAAAGATTTTTACTATCAAAATGGAATGAAAAAGTGAGCATATAGCAAAGCCTCAACACTGACTAAATGAAAAAGAAATGTTGATTTCGGAAAGTTAAGATGTTTCAGAATAGATTCCATATAGACAAACTCATAAAACATACTGAGATAGAATGATGACCCTGAGGTCGCTTAAGGGCTGGATAAGACCTGTGGATATAGTTTCCTTGGTCCACAAGGCATTTTCAAAGAATATAATTTGGGGAGGAGTGGCTAAGATAACAGAGTGATAAGACCTTGACTCACATCCTACCACAGGCACTCTAAAATTACAACTATTTATAGAGGAACTATTGATGAGAACAACTTCAAGACTAGCAGAAAAAATTTTCCACAACTAAAGACATAAAGAAGGAACCACCATGAGAAGGGCAGAAGGGGGAAACTGGAGATACAGTATAGTCAAGACCCACACCCCTGAATAGGTGACCTACAAATGGGAGGATAATCACAATTGCAGAGGTTCTCCACAAGGAGTGAGGGATCCGAGCCCCACATTGGACTCTCCAGCCCAGGGGTCCTGCACCAGGAAGATGAGGCCCCAGAACATCTGACTATGAAGGCCAGCGGGGCTTGTGTACAGAAGAGCCGGAGGGCTGGAGGAAACAGAGACTCTATTCATAGAGGGTGCATGCAAAATCTCATATGCCCTGAGTCCCAGCTAAGAGGCAGTAATTTGAAAGGAGCCTGGGTCAGACATACTTCCTGATCTTGGAGAGCCTCCTGGAGAGGCAGGAGGCAACTGGGACTCTCCCTAGAGACAGAGACACTAACAGCAGCCATTTACAGGAACTTGTTCTAGCAGGAAAACACTGATGCTGGCTAGCACCATTTTGGAGTCCTCCCTCTAGTCTACTAGTGCCGAGGGCTTACCTACCCACCAGCTCCAGCCCCTTCTCCAGGCCACACAGCCAACTTCACCAGGACCCAGCCCCACCCACCAGCAGCTGGCAGCCTCCACATGAGGAGCACCTGGCAGCCAATAAGGCTGGGGGGCCAGCCTTGCCTACCAGCACACCCACAGTAATCAGCCCTGCCACAACAGAAGGGCCCTTGCAGCCCACATAAGGGGCATCCCTAGAGGATACAGCTCTGGTGACCAGAGGAAACTGTGCTCCTGGGCCCCACAGGACATCTCCTACTTCTCCAAGATCAGGAAGCATAAATGACCTGCCTAATACAAAGAAATAAAAACAGAAAAATCAGGCAAAATGAGGTGACAGAGGAATATGTCCCAAACAAAGGAACAAGACAAAATCCCAGAGGAAAAAGTAAGTGAAGAGAGATAAACAATCTACCTGATAAAGAGTTCAAGATGACGATCACAAAGATGCTCAATGAAATCAGGAAAAGAATGGACACAGTGAGAAGTTTAACAGTAAGTGATAAAGAAGAATCAAACAGATCTGAAAAACACAATAGCTGAAGTAAAAAACACACTAGAAAGAATCAACAGTAGCTTAGATGATACAGAGGAATGGATGAGTGTACTAAAATATATAGTACAAACTACTCAAGCTGAACAGAACAAAAAAAAATTGTTTTAATGACAATAGTTTAAGAAACCTCTGGAACAACATCAAGAGTACTAACATTCACAATATAGGGGTCCCAGAAGTCGAGGAGAGAGAAAGAGGCAGAGAACTTATTTGAAGAATAGTAGCTAAAAGCTTCCCTAATCTGGGAAAGGAAACAGACATCCAGGTCCAGGAAGCACAGTCCCAAACAAGATGAACTCAGAGGTCCACACCAAGACACACTGTTATTAAAAGGGCAAAAATTAAAGATTAAGAGAGAATCTTAAAAGGAGCAAGGGAAAAGCAACTAGTTAGGTACAAGGGAATTCCAATAACACTGTCAGCAAATTTTTCAGTAGACACTTTGCAGGCCAGAAGGGAACGGCATGATATATTCAATGTGATGAAAGGAAAAAATACACAACCAAGAACAGTCTATCCGGCAAGGCTATTATTCAGATTTGAAGGAGCGATATAGAGTTTTACAGACAAGCAAATCCTAAGAGTTCAGCACCTGTAAACAGCCTTTATAAGAAATGTTTAAGGGACTTCTCTAAACAGAAAAGAAAAACACCACACTAGGCAATATAAAAATCTAGTAGGAAGGTTAAAAGACAAAAGTAATAAAATCATCTATATCCACAAAAAGTAGTTAAGGGACAAACAAACAAAAAAGGAAAATATAATGTAAAAAAACAATAAAAGGTGGGGGTGGATGCAGGTTTGTTAGAATGTGTTTGAACTTAAGAATCATCAACTTAAAAGAATCACAAATATATACATGGGCTGTTATATATGAACCTCAAGGTAATTACAAACCAAAAATCTACAACAGATACACACACAGGGCTTCCCTGGTGGCGCAGAGATTAAGAATCCGCCTGCCAATGCAGGGGACACAGGTTCAAGCCCTGGTCCGGGAAGATCCCACATGCCGCAGAGCAACTAAGCCCGTGAGCCACGACTACTGAGCCTGCCCTCTAGAGCCCATGAGCCACAACTACTGAAGCCCTCACGCCTAGGGCCCATGCTCCACAACAAGAGAAGCCACCATGATGAGAAGCCCACGCACCTCAACAAAGAGTAGCCCCCACTCGCCACAACTAGAGAAAGCCTGCGCACAGCAAAGAAGACCAAAACGCAGCCAAGAAAATAAAATAAATTAAAAAAAAATACACACACACACACACACACACACACGATAAAGGAATCCAAACCTAACATTAAGGATAGTCATCAAATCACAAGGGAGGCAAGCAAAATAAGCAAAAAAGAACTACAAAAGCAACCTGTAAACAATGAACAACAGCAATAAGTACATACTTATCAATTATTACTTTAAATGTAAATGGACTAAATGCTCCAATCAAAAGACACAGACTGGCTGAATGGGTGAAAAAATAAGACCCTTATACATAGTGCCTAGAAGAAACTCACTTCAGATCTAAAGACACACACACTGAAAGTAAGGGGATGGAAAAAGGTATTCCATGGAAATGGAAATGAAAAGCAAGCTGGGTAGCATTACTTTGATAAATGGATTGATCCAACAAGATAAAACAATTGTAAATATATATGCACCCAAAAAGGGAACACCTAAATACATAAACCAAATAGAAACAAAGGGAGAAAGTCCCAGTAACAAAATAATAGTAGGGGACTTTAACACCCCACTTACATCAATGGACAGATCATTCAGAGAGAATATCAACAAGGAAACACTGGCCTTAAATAATACATTACGATAGACGGACTTAATAGCTATAACATATAGAACATTCCATCCAAAAGCAGCAGAATACACATTATTTTCAAGTGCACATCAAACACTCTCTAGGGTAGATAATATTCTAGGCCACAGAACAAGTCTCGATAAATTTAAGAAGACTGAAATCACATCCAGCATCTTTTCTGACCACAACACTATGAGACTAGAAATTAACCACAAGAAAAGAAAACACTGGTGGGCCAAACAATATGTGACTAAGTAACCAAAGGGTAACTGAAGAAATCAAATACCTGGTAACAAGAAAAATATACCTGGTGACAAATGAATATGGAAACACGATCCAAAATCTGTGGGATGCAGCAAAAGCAGTTCTAAGAGGTAAGTTTATAGCAATGCAAGCCTACCTCAGAATACAAGAAAAATCTCAGTACAAAACCTAACCTTATACCTAAAGGAACTAGAAAAAGAACACACAAACCCAGTTAGAAGAAATCATAAAGCTCAGAGCAGAAATAAATGAAATAGAGACAGTAAAACAACAGGAAAGAGCAAAGAAACTAAGAGCCGGTTCTGTGAAAAGATAAAACAAAATTTAGGTAAACCTTTAGCCAGGCTCATCAAGAAAAAGAGAGCTGAAATCAGTAAAATAAAATGATCAAGGAGATGTTATAACTGACATCACAAAAATACAAAAGATCTGAAGAGATTACTATCAACAATTACATGCCATGGGCTTCCCTGGTGGCGCAGTGGTTGAGAGTCTGCCTGCTGATGCAGGGGACACAGGTTCGTGCCCCGGTCAGGGAAGATCCCACATGCCGCAGAGCGGCTGGGCCCATGAGCCATGGCCGCTGAGCCTGTGCTCCGCCAACGGGAGAGGCCACAACAGTGAGAGGCCCATGTACCAC